TAATCGATTGGCTTTGAGGTCAAGGGCCATGAACAGTTGGTTTATAGACCGCAGAAATCATTGTATGAATTGAAACAAGCTTTTAAGCAATGGAACACACGATTTGATGAATTTATGAAGACACGAGATTTTTTGCAAAGCGTGTATAATCTTTGTGAATTCATTAAAAAAGTGAATGATGAGACATTTTATCTCATCATTTTAGTATTCTATGTTGACAACATGCTCATCTTGATGAAGAACTGATATGACGTTGATGAATGCAAGAGTCAATTGAAGTTTGCATTTAAGATGAAATATATGAGGGAGTCAAAAAGTATATTAATCATGGCTATTCATAGATATCTTAGATAAAGAAAGCTATGATTGAATCACGACAAATATGTTTGCCATAAATACTTGACACGTTCAACATGGCTTTCTCAAAAGTAGGATTGATTCCTCTGCCATCACATTTTCAACACTCCATAACTCAATGTCTTATCAATACTCTGAAGAAAAGAAAAATCTCATGTGCTTTTTATGAACAAGTTGTAGATAGTCTCATGTATTTGATGGTGTGTACTAGGCCTTATATTACGATAGGTAAGATGAACAAGTACATGTCAAATACAAAGAAAGTTTACTCAAAAATAGTGAAATGGATTTTGAGATATCCAAAGAGTACTTTGGATTATGGCTTACAGTTTGATGATTTATCATACAATGCTAAATCCTTGTTTGACTACGTTGATGATGACTACGGACACATCTAGATGAAATAAGATCTAAAACTATATATGTGTTTACACTTGGCGATTGAAGTAGTAGTTAGAGATCTACCTTGCAAAAGTGCGTAGCTTAATCAACAACAGAGGTTGAGTATGTAGCAGCAACAAAAGCAGCAAAGAAAGCTATTTGATTATATATGATTATTATGAAGATGAAATTGACACAAGCCGTGGTCAATTTTCATTGTTATAACCAAAGTGCTTTACATTTGGTTGCAAACCAGATCATGTATAGTAGACTAAAGCACATTGACATTAAACATCACTTTATTAGACAATTAGTGTTTTATAAAACAATTCAGCTAGTCAAGATCGACGGTAAACTCAATTCAACTGATTCATTGATCAAAGTTATTACTTTGGAGAGTTTCAAGTGATACTTTGCTACTATGCAGTTAATACATGAGGAGCATATGTAGAGATTCTTGCTTACATATTATCTTCAATAATCTCTTTATATATTTACTCTATCATGTGATGGTTATGGCATAATTATAGTTAATTCTTATTTAAGACGTTAGTTTTCTTTCTAAAACTTCTCGCAAAGTAATTATATATGTTACAAGATTTATGTTTCTTCTATTTTAGCAGGTTTTGTTATCTCTTTATGCCAGATCTCTATAAGTTTATGGCTACGGTTTAGTTCTAGTTAACTCTCGTTTAAAAATAAATCTTATGTTAGAATTTTGTTTGGATTTTCTTATGGAGTTATAATATAGGTTATTGTTTCCTTAAGATTAATTAAGGGGAAGATTGTTGAGTTTAACTTCAATTAAACAATAACCTCGTGTTTAGCTATTTAAAGTTATGATTGGTCGTCAGAATTTGATATATATACCCTAAAGTTTATACGTTATATACGGTTATGATTTCACCTTGGTAGTAAAGTCTCTCTCGTGTATTATTCCGTAGACATAGTACTCCATATGGTGAACCACGTAATCACTGTGTTAACTTTTTGTCTACTATTTGCATGTTTGCATATTTTGGACTTACACTCATTGATGCAAACTTCAATGCTGAATCATGTTGTATTGTGTGTGTATATTGTCACTGTCTATGTATGCATTTTGGTTTGATTGTTTAACGTAGATTGTTTGTTTTATGTTTTAATAATCCACACAATTAATCTGTAATTAGCTTTAAGTTTCAAATAAAAAGTTACAAATGGATACAACATCTAACATTTTAAGCTTATAAAATCATGAATGTATTTCAAGGGTTTTTAATCATGGAATTTAAATTTGTTGTTTAACTTGACATTTTATATCATTTGAATTTACTAATACATGTGTGAAATTAATTTAATTGCAAAAAGAGAAATATAAAATTTCGATGTAAGGTTTGAAGATCTAATGACCAATTTCAATATTATAAAGAAATAATGTTTTAAAAGTTATCCAATAACATTTTTTGTGAACATCAAATAATTATGTATACATTGAAAAAAAATAATGTAGGTTATAATGTCTGCATACATGTCCAAGCATAATTGCCACAAGCATGAATATTTATGTTGGATATAACTATGATATTCATAGAATCTAATTTTATTTCAAACATTTTTATTTTCAAAAAGGTTTCATTTGATAAAATAAATCTGTGCATACTTATTACAACCTATTTTCTGTTGAACAAAATAAAATTAGTAGTAAACTCATCAAAAATCATTATTCCAAGCATTTTCAAGCATTGCAAGAGTAATGAGTTTCAAGTATTATGTGTTTAAAACCAAGTAAAAATCTGTATGTTTTTTAAAACTTACAAGTGTATTCCAAGTGTGTAACTTGATTTGTTAGATCAAATTAGCTACAAATTCAATATTTATTTTTGAAGATGAATGTAGAACTTACATGGTTATTTAAAATTTCTATCATGCATTGTTGAATGGTAAAAAAAAACCTTACTGAAGTTTACAAAAGGAAAATTAGGAAGATTTGGGTATTGGGAAGGTTTAATGAGGAAGTGATTCAAATGAAAAATGGAAAGTTTTCTAGGAAGAGATCCTTAATTCAATCTCAAGAAAGATGAATATTCATTATTAATAATCATGTCTAACAGGCAAAGTGAAATATAAAAAGTTTAGACTTGTGATATTTTGAATTTTTTTCCCAAATTTTATTTTGACCATGGATGATAATGTGTCAAACATGAATATGTTTAATTTTTGATATATACATAGATATACATGTAACGAAGACTACAAATGTCATAAAAATGAATAGGTAATATGTTAAGACATCAGAGCATAAGAATGTTAGTAATTAGAAATTGATATGTTTATTACATTCTATAACAACAATCATAATAATATGATAAAACAATAACACTTATATTGAAATATTGTATGTGGATTGAAAATTGAGATCATTTACAAATTTATTGACAATGAAACTCATTGACATAGACATAGAATGTACATTCTAAATAAAAGATAAGGTTGATTTTACATGAAGAGCTTCTTACATGCATTATTTCACAACATACACATAATCTATGCATAAAAAATTGCTTTCATAAAGGTGCTAATGATATAGTAAAACATACGTATTTAGTGTATTTTGCTTATCATCGTGATTTTTGCAATTTTTTTTTAGAATATGCTTTAATACTATAAATATCTACATCATATCATACGTCAAATTGTGAAAAAATACAGCAACAATACAAATCATAATAATATTTTTTAAATATAAATTTTGAAATTAAAGGAGATTCGTAATGCAAATTTAATGATTAATCATTTTATTTTTTCTAAAATACCAAAAATATGTAAAAAATAGAAAAGAAACTTAAAATAAAAATAAAATAAAAATAAAAATAAAAACTAAAAAAAATATATATACTAAAGATCAATCATTTGTATGTACAGCGATTTTAAATCAGTGAACAAATTTAGAAATGAAAAGACACTTTTTGTTGATTTTAAAATTTTGTAGTTCACTTTAATAACCAAGTGACATTATAGAACTATTTCTGTTAAGATTATAAAAATAAGTGTTCACTTGTATAAATGATTATCAATAATGAGTCTGTAAAATGCATGATAACCCAGAGTAACAAATTTTTGTTTGTTGTCATAATTTATAAGTGGATTGTAAAGCTTGAATGTATTAAATTGTATGTATATTGCATAATATGAATATATCTTTATATTTTTGCATTACCTTTATATAAAATAAGCTGGAAAAAAATGTTGATATAAAAAATACATGAATTGATTTTCATTTGAAGATATAGCGGTAGACATTACAGGATGATAAAATAGCAGTTAACTATATCATTATATGATATATTATTAATAAATAGTTACTTCTATATTGTATATTGATAGTTCACTCAAGTTATAAAGTTATGTTTTAAAATCATACATGCGATAGTGCTTAAAGGGGGATGATTGTCAAACTCCTTGATGCGAGAAGAAGAGATCCACATTTAAGGAATTTCAAAGTGAATAGATTTAGAAGACGTTTTTATTGATGTAGAGATATACAGAGCTAGCTTAATAGTTGACTGTTATATGATGTAAGACATTCTTCTCGTTGCAATGTTATTGAGGACTATCCTCATAATACTCATTTGGTTCCATCACGTTACGGGTCCATGCGTTCTCCCCATCCTTATTGTTATATATTTTTCAATTTCTTTTGATATCTCATTACATGGATGTAATGACTTGAGATCTAAATCAAGTATTTTTCCGGGATAGATTACATATAAAAAACCAAGAATGAAAGAGTAGGAATCTAAAGTTTTGAGAGCTGACTTTTGGTACTTTCAAACATCGAAAACAACATTTACTTTGGTAATCGAAGAATGCAGTGAGGACTATTTAAATAGCCACATTTGTAGACCACTCCGTGCCATGTACTGAAAGCACTCATAGGCACATTCGGAGGGAGATACATCTAAATCTGATGAATTTACCTTTTGCAACAGAACACACTTTTGCTCCATTCGGTGGAATTAGGAGTCAACGAAGAGTGTAAAAAAGTAATCCACACACAGAGAATTCGAACTTTACCATAAACTTTATCTAAGCTCACCACTTACGAAAATCACGAAATCGAAAGCGAGAACATTTAAAGTGGAATGACTCCAATTTTAATTGCTCGTTCCTCAAATCCAGACGGCCTCCGGATCTGCCCACATTCCGAGGGCAGCACAGGAATAAAGCCGCCAAATTTCCGCCGAACAGAGTCATATACTGTCAAATACTGTCAAATACTGAGCGCCACGAGAAGCACTGCCCGAGAAGCGGCTAACGTGGAAGGCGGGGCCAAATTTGGCCGGCGTTTCGACGCGGAGAGTTCCATCAAGTCGGGAACCTCGAGAGCATCGGGAGCAGCATATAAACTGCGCCATGAGCGAAGCGCACGGAGGCGTCGGAGAGACTTGCTGCGGCCCAGCTGACGAGCAGCGACGAGGGAGATCCGCGCAGAGACAGTTGAGGCGGAGTTCATGAATGTGGGAAAAGCGGGCACAGAAATTGGCTTTCCCCGCGGAACGGAGCAGATGAGATTAGATGAGATGAGACGGAACGAGAGACGTGACGGTGAGCGGAGCAGAGCAGAGTAGAGCAGTGACGGACTGGCCTGCAGAGAGATTTGGCCCAAGGCGCTGGAGCCAATTTGTGCCGCCCAGCGATTGTCTGCAGATTCGAGCGACTTATTCACCCCGGGGAAAGCGACTCGTGCAACCTAAGTGAGAGTCTCTGATCAGATTGATTCGCTCTTCGAGCTGCATTGTTTGGTGGATTGGGTGCTGGTTTCGATTCCGGGTTTTGCCCGCGAGGTGTTTCCCCTGCCGCTGCTGATGTGCGGCTTTCGGCGGCCGGAGGTCGCTGAGGATCAGATGCCCGTGCGTAAATTGGTGGGTAAGAATGGTGGTCTACCCGAGGTCGGCTGTTGAGGTCAAAGGCAGAGGTAAAGTTACCCACCGTTGCAAAGCTGGGAATGGGGCCTACACGAGGACCTCGCGCGAAGGTGGTCGTGAAAGTAAAATCCTGAATAACGACGTTCTTTCTTGATAATGGTCGATGGTGATTCTAGTCAGACGAGCCAGCTGTTACAGGGGATTCCCACTTCGATCATGGTGGATTTTTCTCTCTGAGTGTATCATTGATTTTAGGTTCGACACCCTCATCTGTCGCCCGTGATTTTGGAGACGCCCCTTGGGGAAGATTTCGGACCTCAGAGGGCCATGTAGCTTGTTGATTCTCAACAGGGGTAATGATCGAGCTTTTCTGGAAGTTCCACTTATGACGATATTTTTTGGCTTATCTAGCCTTCCCGATGTCGTCGGAAGCTCTCGAGGGGCAGACCAAGAGTAGCAGAGGTCTCGAATGCTGAGAAAGGATCGAGAAGGGTGGTTGTAGCCGGCTGAACAAAATGCGGGTCGCGAGCTCAGCAAAATTGATCGTAGATGCTCTGCTCCAAAGATTTTTGCCTTTGGCCCGACGGCGGATTGACACAGTCCAAGCCCAGGTTCTTTTCGTAAACGTACTTTGCTTGTGTATAGCATTATGAACCTGCGCTTGGAAATTTTGTTTTGGATGGGTTTCCTGTGTAGCACGCGAAGCGTGATTGACGTTCATTAAAGTTACAAACCAAGGTTGTGGAATCACCGTTACAGGTTCTACCTGGAGTGACGAATGCATCAAGGATTTGAGTCACTAGTCGCTACGTTTTCAGACAGACCGACTGATCAGAAACTTATGAATCCTTTCAGCCAGTAAAGCAGTTAGCATTCTTTTGTTTTTGTGAATATGGTATAGAGTGGTAGCATGAGTGTCTTATCACCAGAGCGCGAGCGACTTGGACGTTGAACATGTCAAGCGAGATGCCTGTCTGGTTCAGGATATTAGCTAAAATCGGAGATATTGCTAGTGATTTCAGCTGTGAATAACTAACTTGATTGTTAGTCAGATCGATGGAATTATAAGAAATGATTTGACTGGAATTTTAAATTCCTGATCAGCTGAAAGTGATATAGCAGTATTATATTGGCACCACATCCGTGGCAACGAGGTGTCCTTGAGTGCATCATATTGTTTTGCCGGCGAAGTACGTCAGGCAACTAAGTCAAGGATTTGTAATTTCACTGCATTTTGAAAAGTTAAGGTTGGGTGAACATTCTGGACCCCCTGAATGTTTCACTACATCAGCAATGGGAAGTTTGGAAGCCCTTTTAGTTTCTGATCATGATGTCATTTCTGCAGGATGGACAATATTTACGAGCTTCTGATCCAGTCTATGAGCAAGTCTTGGACTCGCTCGCCATGGTTGCCCATCACACACCCAGACCATTAATGGAAGCTCTTTTAAAATGGAGGGAAAGGTATCAGTCTTAATCTCAAAAGCCATCACCAAAGCACAAAGGAGGGAACTCACCGTTAGGTGTATCTAGTATGAACATTGTCAATTCTAAGTCCTTTCCGAAAGACAATTGAATAGACAACAAGTCCTAGTTGGCGTTTTTTCTGGGAAAGACTTCATCTCCTTACGTCACGTTTAAGTCATCCTATCTCCAAGAACGCAAGCTCATTATGAAACCGGCCAAAATTCTGCTGTGTGTAATTGTTCTATTGCAAAACGGCTCTGTCTTTGTACTGTTCATGTTCGGCAATTACGTGAAGTAGATACAAATTCCCAAGTTGTCGAGAAATTAATCTAGTGTCGGTCTCTAAATTAGCCATTAACGCACGCACAAACTACCCTCAGTTCGTAAGGATTTTCAATCACCACGATCAACTTACATTGGGTTTGAGAAGCTAGCTTTCTGGTATATGTAGAACAACATGACTAAACCAGTGGAGGTTTATTTCAGTTACATCAGTGCCGCTAGAGAGAGAGTAAGCTATTCTGATAATATGAATTTTCATCTCAATATTCCTCATACTTTGATTAACTTTTTGGCAGTGAATCGCCGAAGCCTGCAGCTGGAGCAAGCGATGCTTCCACTTTTCAGAGAAAGGTAGCTTTGCCGTTACTTTATTCCCCCTGAATTTTGTTTCATGCCATCCACAGCGGTCAGTGCTTTAGTGGAATGGTCGACGTAGGAAGGTTATGCTGCTGTTATAGAATTTTGTCTTCTACGTGAGAAGTTGCTTTGTGGGGGAGCACAAATTTGCTAATGTCAGAACAATATTTTAAGGAATCCTTCTGTATTTCAAGGCTCTATGTTCAAGTTGTGCAAAAGTCAGGCTAGTACTTGCATGCTCAGGTTCACATCTCTTTTCATTTCCATTCTAGTTACACTTTTGCAAAACTACTAAACAAATGTTCGCGTCAGCTCTTTTGCGGTTGATAATGATTACATCAAATAATATGAAATTGAGAAAGGATGTATCTTATATGTAGTCCTAATTGGCTTTTTTTTTTCTCTTTGAATCAACAGCTTGCTGTGGAATGTATCTTTTGTTCTGCTTGTATTCGATTCGTGGAATGCTGTCCTCAAGAGGGCCTTACAGGTAAACTCTTCAAGTCCCTTAATTGTATAATTTTCTTCTGAGCAGGCTCCATATACACACATGTGATTAATATATATTCCAGGTCTTAGGTAAGACAAAATCCATAATGTAGTGCCCGGTGGGGTTATATATCCACCGGGCACTACACATGGTAGTAGCATGAAAGGGTCGCCCGAATGGCTTGGGTATCTGTGGCTGACTACATTATGTCTTAACTTACAGAAATTGAGACTTTCTTTCCAATCAACGTTTTACTCGACCGGGCACATTTGAATAACATCCCAATAACCTGCGAGAATACTTTTTGTAGACATGTCCGATCTTTTTTTGTTTTCTACTAACGTGTAAACAGTCGAATATCGGAGTTGTATGACTCAAACTAAGACGATGGTATTGTCGATAGGCCTTGAAGTTTGCTCTGCAAGATTTTGACCTAAATTTTGCTCTGCCAAGACCTTTTTGCAGAAACACTATGGGTTGGGCTGGAAAACTTTGTTTTTGATTGGCTCATCAACGCAGACAGGTATAACTTAGAATTTGTAAAGGTTCGGTGCACGAAATGCTCGGCTTCATTTTATTCATTTGAGTTCCTAGGATTGGATTGTACAAGGCAGAATCTCTCTGAAACTAGCGTCAGCTTTTCTGTCAGGTGTCAAATTATAGTTGATACACTAAATCTGTTGGTCCATTTTTCGGAATGTCCGACGTTCATTCAGTCTTCTTTTCCCTTTTATTCTGAAGTAATCAGATGGAGGTGTGTTTTCTCTACCGCTCAAGACAGCCACTGCCAATAGTGTCTGATAACAGACTATTTCCACATCTAGCTTTGTGATGCCAGTCTTGTCAATGGAGGTCTAATTCCGGACTATTTGTCATCGCAGGGTTGTGAGTCATACGGAGTACCCCTCTCTTGTGGACCTTAGGGGACTTCTATTAGATCTTGTCGCTCAACTCCTCGGCGCCCTCTCGCGGATAAGGTAAAACTTTCACATCATACCGAGTTCCGGTCTCTGACTTATAGGTATTGGATTCCTGTGGTATCGTAATAGATCCTCGTTTGCAACTTTGAAAGATATTTAAACTCAGGTTCACTTCCTTTACATCCTCCTTACTTTTGCCATGAAGTCTTTTTTGCTGGAATCCTTACATGTTTTGCCTCATGTCAAGCAGTGAAGAGGCTGCTTGGTAGGTTCTAGTATCTTACTTGTTCTTCGTGGATAGCTTCATGGAATTGAAGATGACGAATACCCTCACTTGGGATCATTCTTTCTTTTCCTGCATCATAGTTTCCGCACAAATTATATGTAGGCAGTCGTAAAGGATATTTTTTCTACACTTATTGAGATAATTATCAAAAAGAGAATCAAGTCGTTGGATTTGCCAACACAGCTTTCCTACTTTATGGCCCTTTGAAGGAATACCCCCTTATAAACTTTGTTTGCAGGTTCATGTCAGTAACAGATCGTTTCTTCAATGAGCTAAACGGACGTCGCATCGATACAAATACTGCGCGCAGTGAAACCTTGAGCATCATTCACGGCATGCGCTACCTTAAGCTTGGGGTATGTTGGATTCGTATTCTATGTCTTTGTCACGATTGGTTGGTTCATCATAAGTGTTATCTGCGGGCTAGTATGTGTGAATTGAGTCCGATTGTGGTTTTACGCTTGAATATTGATTTGATACAAGCATAAGTCTATATGTCGGTCTTTCAGGTCACAACTCTAGGCGGTTTAAACGCCTCCACTTCTTTTGTTGCCAAAGCAAATCCGCTCAATCGAGTACCTGCGAAGAAAAAGACCGAGCTACATCATGCAATGTGCAACATGTTGTCCAGTATATTGGCACCTTTGGCTGACGGAGGCCGAGGCTCTTGGCCTCCTTCTGGGGTTGATCAAGCTTTGACACTTTGGTATGATGCTGTGCTTCGAATTCGAAACCAGCTTTCTCATTGGATGGATAAGCAAAGTAAACATATAATTGTAAGGATTATGTCTCCCTCTCCGCATGAGAACTTGCTGTTCATTGTGTGCTTCTCGAGTCTGAGTTTGTAGAGTCCGTGTTAAGTGATGTGTATCCGGGAGTACGGATGTAAGATGGAAATCGTAGTTCTTTGAGACACTTTGTTCGGTCCGTCTTTCTGTATCAGTTCATCTCGCTTTTAATAGTTACCTTGGGATAAGGAGTTCTACGCAAATAGCATGCTTATATGTTCTCACTGCCTCTATTGTCACAAAAATATGTTGTCTCGGAAGAATGCGAGAAAGTGAAGCTCGGAACTTACATAATGTAAATAACTCACATGTACAGGTTGGATACCCTCTGGTGACTCTCCTGTTGTGCTTAGGAGATCCACAATATTTTAGTAGCACATTTGGTCCTCACCTGGACCAACTGTACAAACTTCTGAGGGTTAGCACCTAACCTCTACTTTTTTTTTAATCCATGTCCAACTCTCGATATTGAGTAGGCATAATCAGCGTGTGCTTGGGAATTTTTCTATCATTCTGAAATCATCAATAAGTGGCCATTTCATCCTATATGTTGAAGATCAGAACACTGACAAGCAACATTCCTATTCGCATGAGTTGCACGATAGCTTATTGGTGGCTTTTGTGTACTTCTTGAATCTATGCAGGAGAAGAATCACCGGTCCATGGCACTTGACTGCTTGCATAGAGTTTTACGCTTTTATCTCAACGTGTACGCGGATAGCCAACAGAAGAACCGTGTTTGGGTGTATCTTCACAGCATCACCTCACAACTGTTAGCAAGTTTGAAGAAAGGATCCCTAACTCAGGATGTGCAACACGATAAGCTTGTGGATTTCTGTGTTACTATCGCCGAAAGCAATCTGGACTTCTCTATGAATCATATGATTCTCGAGTTATTGCGGACAGAAAACCTGAGTGAGGCGAAAGTGATTGGCTTGCGAGCACTTCTTGCTGTGGTCTCATCTCCATCTCATCAGAGGTTCACACCAGACACTTTTGAGGATTCACATTTTTCAGCTACATCTTCTCTCAGGGGTTCACCCACTCCTTCTTGGTCACATGCAACGGGAGTTGCTGCATCTCCAAGTCATCTGAGTTCTGGATCTGTGACGAGTGATCTGTCCTTAAATGGTCATGACATTGGTCCTTATATTCCCAAAGTGAGAACTGCGTTGGGATCTATTATCAAGGCATGCCACGCAACTTATGGAAGCGCACTTTTAACTTCATCTAAAACAACAATCGGTACGGACGATGCTTTTTCTAGCGAACATGAGATTCTTTGCCAGTCTCTGTACCTTTTACAAGAAAGAAATTAATTTGTCTTTCTTTATGTCTAATGTGCAGAACCATTAACGAAGGAAAAATCACAAGGATGGCTTGTGTTTCGTTGGGCTCTCAAGTGCGTACCCCATTTGATACCAGAGCAGTGGCGTGCTGAGAAGCTGACCGAGATTATTCCTGTTTATGCTATTAGCATTGAACCAGGGGTCCGAGAAGAAGCAGTTCAGGTGTTGTTTAGAACTGTTCGAGACCTTCCGCAAAGCCGTTTTGCTGTCATGCGAGGCATGGCAAACTTCATTCTGAGGATACCGGATGACTTCCCCTTGCTCATCCACACTTCACTAGGCCGACTCGTTCAACTACTCCATTCATGGCGTGGTTGCTTGGCTGAGGAGAGCAACTCAGCTGAAGGTCGAGGAACAAGACATGGGAGCAAGGATGCTGGTACCATATTTTCTACACCACGTCCATTCGAAGAAACCACCAGCTTCGATCCATCTGGGATGGATGCAGTTGGGCTGATATTCCTCTGTTCTGTAGACCTCCAGATTCGACACACTGCTCTTGAACTACTGCGGTGTGTTCGAGCTTTACAGAACGATATCACAAGACTGTCCTCCAAAGACCAAGAGCATGGAAAGTCGAGGATGGAACCAGAACCGACTTTTGTTATCGATGTTTTTGAGGAAACTGGGGTGAGCTCAGCTGGCAGATCATACCTCCAATCGGTGCCGATACGTTGAAGAGTTGTGTGATTCTCTGGTTACTGTCCCCATGCAGGCGCTGACTTTGCAGTATCGCTAACAATATGAGTGACCTGGTGTGCAGGATGATATCGTACAGCGCTGCTACTGGGATTCTGGTCGCTGGTACGATCTTAGACGAGAATGGGATGTTGTACCAGCTGAGTTGAGTTTACAGAATGTGCTAGAGAGCAACGACAAAGGTCGATGGGCTCGCTGCCTGAGTGAGCTGGTCAACTATGTTGCAGAACTTTGCCCAGCAGCAGTTCAAGGAGCAAGGTAAGCCCATTTTCACATTGTCTTCCTTTTGCGTTGGCTATTGTTGCTGTGTGACTGTGGGTGCATAGGAAGGATCGCGTAAATTGAAGGTTGTGCATTTTATTTCAGGCTAGAGGTGGTCACTCGGTTGGCGCACATCACTCCAGTTGACCTAGGTGGAAAAGCTGCACAGACACATGACGTTGACAGCAAGCTGGACCAATGGCATATGTATTCCATGTTCGCTTGCTCATGCCCACCAGAAGAATCTGATGATGGAGCGGGGGCTTCTGTTAAGGAGCTGTTAAGGCTTGTCTTCCCCTATCTCAAGTCTGGTAATGATGGGCAGATTGTAAGTGTCTATCTCAGACGTGTTCCAATGCCTTGCAAGCGTTTATAAGTCTATAGAAGTGAGGAGGCCTGATTTGGACACTCTTCAGCTTGTGATGACTTCTGTTGAATGCTGAGGGATGCCTTTTACTAGTCATCGCGATTCATCAGTTGGCTAGTTTGTAGGTACTCTTGTTTTCCTAGATCTTACTTCTGGATACTAATAAGGGTCAGTTTTGTTCTAGTTTTTTCTCTGTCTAAGACTTGGTTCTTGAGCGTCATCGAGGATGTTTTTCTTAGGTGTAACTTGAATTAATGTTAGCTTGTTGCTCTAATGCAGTACGCAGCGACGTTGGCTCTTGGACATTCTCATTTGGAGATTTGTGAAGTTATGCTCAGTGAGTTAACCACTTTCCTGGAGGAAGTAACGTCTGAAATGGAAAGTCGCCCAAAATGGAAGGTATGGGCTTATGCTGTTAACCTCAGTGTAGTAGCATTCATTGGTCGTCGTCTTCTGCTCTTGTTTCGTCGTTAAGGAAAATTTATCTTCGTGAATATCGATGACAAAGATATTAAACTGTGCATTCTATGCAGAGCCAGAAGCTTCGTCGAGAGGACGTTCGAGTGCATGTGGCAGATGTATATCGTATGGTTGCAGAAAGTATATGGCCGGGAATGCTTGTGAAAAAACCTGTCTTACGAATTCATTTCCTCAGGTTCATTGACGATACAGCTCGCCAGATCGTGTCTGCTACACCTGAAGCTTTCCAAGACATACAACCTTTGCGCTACTCGCTTGCATGTGTCTTACGATCTCTTGCCGCTGATGTGGTTCGCGCTTCTTCAGAGAAATTTGTTATGGGGACTCGAAAGCGATTGTTTGATCTTCTGTCCTCATGGTGCGATGATACATCTAATGCTTGGGGTGGAGACGGAGTTAGTGAGTACAGAAAGGAAATAGAACGCTACAAATCTTCTCAGAACGTGCGAACAAAAGATTCGGTTGAAAAGATTACGGTTGAGAAAGAGATTAACGAGCAAGTAGACGCCATTCAGTGGGTCGCCATGAATGCGATGGCTGCCTTGCTCTACGGTCCTTGTTTTGATGACAGTGCCCGAAAAATGAGTGGACGAGTGGTATCTTGGATAAATGGACTCTTCCTAGAACCAGTCTCTAGAGTTCCGATTGGATATTCTCCTGCCGATCCTCGCACCGCCTCGCCTCACTCCAAGTTTGGCATCAGTGGGGTTGTTGATGTTTTTCGTGGAGGAGCTGCTGGCCGGGACCGGCAACGTGTGAGCTCTTCCCGTGTCTTCCTTGCAAAGACAGCACTGATGAATCTGCTGCAAACAAACCTTGACTTGTTTCCTGCTTGTATCGATCAGGTAAGATCAGGTTGATAGTCGTTCATGCATGTAATCAGTGAGAGTCTCCATGTGATGTATATGCGTTCTGCTGTGCTTCGGCGTTATACAAGTTTCAAGCCTACAGACGTTATAGCATCATGTACGGGATGAAGGTTTTGAGAGCAGTTGAACCTGAATCGATGAAGTAGTATCGGACGGAACTAGGTATTCTTGTGAAGGTCAGTTAGTTGCTGAGTTGCCCTTGATCATGTGGATACGACGTCTCTGCAGTGCTACTCCTCGGACTCCTCGATAGCGGATGGCTATTTCACTGTGCTTGCTGAAGTTTATATGCGTCAAGAGGTGCCTAAGTGCGAGATACAACGACTTTTGAGCCTTATTTTGTACAAGGTGGTGGATCAGTCACGACAAATAAGGGATGATGCGTTGCAAATGCTGGAAACCCTGTCAATACGAGCATGGGCCGAAGAAGGGGAGGGTGCGGGCAGGTATCGTGCAGCAGTAGTGGGGAGTCTTCCTGATTCGTACCAGCAGTTCCAGTATCAGCTGTCAGCTAAATTGGCTAAGGAACACCCTGAACTAAGTGAGCTGCTCTGTGAAGAAATTATGCAACGTCAGCTCGATGCAGTCGACATAATTGCGCAGCACCAAGTTCTAACGTGCATGGCTCCCTGGATCGAGAACCTCAACTTTGTGACGTTGTGGGACTCGGGCTGGAGTGAAAGACTTTTGAAAAGTTTGTACTACGTCACGTGGAGACATGGGGACCAATTTCCCGATGAGATCGAGAAACTTTGGAGCACGGTAGCAAGGAAGTGGAGGAACATCATTCCAGTTCTTGATTTTCTTATAACGAAGGGAATCGAGGACTGTGATTCCAATGCCACCGGAGAGATCAGTGGGGCGTTTGCAACCTATTTCTCTGTCGCGAAAAGGATCAGTCTGTATCTGGCCAGAATGTCGCCTCAGCAGACCATTGATCACCTTGTTTTTGAACTCTCTCAAAGGATGCTGGAAGATCATCCCGAGCAGTCAAAGCGTCCAGCAGATGCCGGATTTGCTGTTGACAATGTGACACCCGTTCTGGAGTTTTCACAAGGTCCTCAAGTAGTTCAACTTATTGAACCCCCGCCGCATATGTCCCCGTTGCTAGTTCGGGGCTCGCTTGAGGGTCCACTTCGTAATGCCAGTGGTAGTTTAAGCTGGCGTACAGCAACAGGAAGAAGTATGTCTGGACCGTTGAACAATATGGCCATGCCTGAAATACACCAAGGTAGATCTGGTCAATTATTCACAGGATCTGGTCCCTTGATGAGCTTGTCTGGTCCTCTCATGGGTGTTCGTAGCTCAACGGGAAGTCTGAAAAGTAGACATCTTTCAAGAGATAGTGGGGACTATTTCGTAGACACACCAAACTCATTGGAGGAAATGCGGGCAAACATTCCAGCTGTGACTGCAGGAGAGCTTCAATCCGCGCTGCAAGGCCACCATCACTGGCTTTCTCGGGCAGATATTGCACTGATTTTACTAGCAGAGATCGCATATGAGAATGATGAGGACTTCCGAGGTCACTTGCCGTTGCTCTTTCATGTGACGTTTGTTTCAATGGACAGTTCAGAAGATATTGTACTGGAGCATTGCCAACAACTCCTTGTGAATCTTCTTTACTCTTTAGCAGGGCGTCATTTGGAGTTGTATGATGTCGGTGATCATGGAGATGGAGAATATAAGCAGCAAGTCGTTAGCTTGATTAAGTACGTGCAATCCAAGAAGAGCAGTATGATGTGGGAGAACGAAGATATGACACTGTTACGGATGGAACTCCCGAGTGCTGCTCTCCTCTCTGCCCTTGTGCTGAGTGTGGTGGATGCCATCTTTTTCCAAGGTGACCTGCGGGAACGATGGGGAGAAGAAGCGCTTAAGTGGGCGATGGAGTGCACATCCAGGCATCTTGCGTGTAGGTCACATCAGATTTATCGTGCACTTCGTCCAAGTGTGACCAGCGATACATGCGTTTCATTACTGCGCTGCCTACATCGATGTTTCAGCAATCCAGCGCAGCCGGTGCTAGGATTTGTTATGGAGATTCTTCTCACCTTGCAAGTCATGGTCGAGATTATGGAGCCAGAGAAAGTCATTCTCTATCCACAAGTCTTCTGGGGTTGTGTAGCCATGCTGCATACGGACTTCGTGCACGTCTACACACAAGTTTTGGAGCTTTTTGCCCGTGTCATAGATAGGTTGTCATTTCACGATCAAACAGCTGAGAATGTACTCCTCTCTAATATGCCGAGAGATGAATATGAGAGTCACCTCCAGGAAAGGGATCTAGGTAGGCTTGATTCAAGTGGTTTTGATATACTAGGGAAAAGTGAGGATGGGGCAGATGCGGATGAAAAAGCACCTACCTTTGAGGGAGTCCAACCTCTTGTTTTGAAAGGGCTTATGTCGACAGTGAGCCATGCCTCTGCTATAGAAGTCCTATCGCGTATCACTCTACATTCCTGCGATCAGATATTTGGAGATTCGGATACAAGATTGTTGATGCACATTGTTGGACTTCTACCCTGGCTTTGCTTACAGCTGCAAAAGGGAGAAAGTCCTTTGATGTTAGGCTTTGATTCCCCTCTCCAGCAACAGCTGCAGAAGGCACGCTCAGTTGCAGCAAATATTTCTCAATGGTGTGCCGCAAAGCATCTCGATGGTCTTGCCCTTGTGTTTGCAGCGTATGCAGAGGGTTGGCAAACAACTATGGAGGATCTTCTGGATCGCGTTGCTCCGCTATTGTGCACCGAATGGTTTCCACGCCATTCTACTTTGGCTTTTGGACACTTATTAAGGTTATTAGAAAAGGGACCTGTTGAGTATCAGCGAGTTATTCTGCTGATGTTAAGAGCACTTCTGCAGCACACCTCGATAGATGCAGCCAAGTCTCCTCAGGTGTACGCAGCGGTGTCACAGTTCGTTGAAAGTCCTCTCTGCTTTGAAGCTCTGAATGTCCTGGAGGCAGTATTGCAGAGTTGCAGTACTCAGGTTAGTTTCCAAGTTGACAATACTCCTGCACCAGAAAATGGGGTTTTCACGGCTGCAGGATCAGCCACTTTTCGACGACCGGAGGATGACAGGTTTTCGTCAACTGTTGCTACACACAGTTCCTTCAAAGCTAAAAGTGGTCCCCTCCATTATTCTTGGCAAGGTTCTGGTGGAGCTGTCCCTGCTACACCCACCATTGCCGTTGCCGGACCTTCAGCACCTACAGATGTTCTGCCCTCTCGGGAAACAGCGCTGCAAAATACAAAATTAGCACTTGGACGAGTATTAGACACGTATGGACCTGGGCGTAAGAGAGATTACAAGCGTCTGGTACCTTTTGTTGCATCCAGCATACGCCCTTCAACTACCACAACTGGCCAGCAAGGGAAAGGTCAATGATAATATTATTTCAGGTATGCGTCTCATTGACCGCGTCCTGGTGTTTCTTCCTTGACTCTACTCCCTCCTGCTTGGATAGGTCTAGGTTTCCATGGGTGAAGGCAGTGTACAAAGCCTGATAGATGATCCGCAGACTTTAGTCTGCCTGGCTTCATACTATTTGGAATTCGCTTTTCTAACTGTAACATATTCAATGTACTACTGCACCTCTTGCACAGGGCAAGGACTACGAAGTGGGTGACTCTGAGGCACGTCTTCTGGAGTCTATATGTGTATTCTTATACAGATTTATATAAAGCATCTCAACCGTCAGGCTAATCTCTGTTCGAGGTCAGACCTTTTGTGCTAATTATGGAGGTAAGCTGAGTCTTTTAGTTTTTTCTATTGGTTTTTTCCATCATTCAATACTTGTTTTTTTCTCTAGACTGTAGTTCATGTGCCAAGTTGAAACATTGGGTTGTGAAAGGAACCATATCTAGCTTAGCTGGCAGATTTTGTCATTTTTCTTGTTTATCTTGAATAAAACTGTACAATCTGAAAATGGCACCGTCTTCTCCTTAGATTGGGCATCGGAGAGTGCGAAGTATCGAAAATTATCCTACGCTTTGGTTCTCTGAAAAAAAGGAATGCGTGGGAGGTGGTTTACATTTTTCCTGTCATTGTTCTTAGGTTAACGCCATCCATCACATCATCTTAAAGATTTCACCTCACGTGAAGAATCTGCGGGTCTTTTGCAACCCAAGATTTAGCTTTAAGGTGGTTAAGCAAGGCGCTGACGGAACCTTCATGCAGGTCCGTCACATCAACTTACTGAAAGACATACCTCTAATTGACTACAGATATTAATTTTGTCATTTCAAAGTATCGTGGCTTCTTCCGTTACTTCTATTCAAGATCAGTGTCTTTGAAATCTAGCCACGTCCCACTCCGATGGTTTATGAGCTCGAAATTTCTGTAACGGGGATTTCAGTCAGATGCCATAAGCGTAGAGAACTTCAAGTAATGTGTATTTTTTTGTTAGATGATTTGTTTTTAACCCACTATTGGATTCTTACCAGAAATTTCGGAGAACATGTCTATGAAGTCGTAGGGGTGAGGTGTATCAAATATTTGTGAATATAAGCAGTTGAGAAGTGGGACTGATGAAGACAAGGAGATTGTGGTCCGTGATTTCTTTTGGGTAATATCGTTGGCCCTTTCAACGCGTTTGAGGAGCAGGCATATGCAGAGTCTTTCTTGACAATTTGTTCTCCTTGTAGAAATATAAATTGCTTAGAAACAGATTATTTCTTGTGTGGGTTTTAATCGACCCTTGATGATAGATTTGTTGCCTACTTTATCATGGTGAAAGTAGTTCGTCCAGGCTAGCTGGGCCATCGCATGCAGCTGGTTTGGTGGTAAAGTTGGCAATCATTAAGCCTGAGATTACCTTTGTACCATAACATTGAATAAATTTGAAGAGCCGAAAGATTCAGGCGGTCAACAAGCTTGCTCATATATGAAGTTTTTCGTCCCATGAATCTCTTGAAATAGGAATGGCGCTGTAGAAAAGTGCAAAGAAATGAACGCTGATTGTCATCAACAATCAGCTATCGCCATGAGTGTTTAGGGTTAAGGGTTTAGTTTAGTGACACCAGCGGAGAGTACTGTACCCTTTGTGGAAGCAGAGGTAGAGAACTCGAGGCAAAGTGCAGCCCCTGCCATTTCTGTTTAAAATACGAAAAACTAGAAAGCTTCGAGGACTGCAAACCTGTACAGGGAACGATGATGAACTATTGGTAGCCGTCTTAACAGCAATGTTTGTGTAGCGTGCAGGAACCGGTCTCGAAATCCTCGTTGCCGTTGATCCTTTGAACTCTGTTGTAGGATTTGATGAGAATGTTCTCCATATGTATAACTAGCAGTGCATTATGCTCCTATTAACTTTTTGAGGTTAGCCATATTTGGCAAACATTCCCTTGGTTGGGCTATGAGCAGCAACAACACTAAGGACAGAATCTGCTAGATAACAATTACGCCTGCTACAGTTTGATCCATTTACAATGCTAACTCCGCAGAAAGGTGTGATCGCTACGAATGTGATGTACCTTCCTATTAAAGTACGTTTATATAAAGTCTAGTGATAATACGATTAAAAGTATGTTACCTTTTGTTTGAAACAAAGTAATAGGTGTTTTATTTTCTTTTGTTCCATGCCAGTTGATAAAATTTTTACCGGTTTTCATCTGTCTAACGAATTTTCCATTTTCATATCTTAGATGTTTGCATATAGTTTCAAAAATTTAATTTACTATTTCAAATATTAGTGAAAAGTAAGTATATATATATATATATATATAAGAATACCAATTCAGAAAAAATGCTATATTAACCGAAAACATAAATCATGATACATGTATAACCTCTAAATCAACAAAAACATGCAATTCGTAAAACATACACGCAGTCTTCCTTCAAAATACATTCTACGACAATGAAAGCTCAGATAACGATAATAAACTGCTCATTGTGATGTTTATAACCTATAAAGAGTCCTTAGATTAGTTTCAATTTGACTAGATATACAACACGATAATGATGTATAGAGAGCGATAAACTGAAATTTAGAATATTTCTTTGATATTTCTTTATTGATAACGGAATTCCCGAATTCCTCATATGGAGAGGGAATCATGAATCAGTTATCATATTCAATGATAACTGAAGTCATCATTGAATCATTTAGGTGCAATTGGTAGTTTTCGATATACAACTTTTTGTACTGCAAAAATTTAAGATAAATTAGCTCAGATTGTAAATTTAAAATAATGTCATGAATCAAAACAAGTGAGCACTGATAATTTTCAAAATGTGAACTGAAAATTATTGTTTTACTTATATAATTTGAATTTAAATATTGATTATTAATAGAATTAGGACTTTCAAATATTTTATTCCTCTTTTAGATTTTTTTCCATTTTGAATTTGTAACTCTCTAAATATTAATCTATTTTTTGTATATTATAACTAAGTACCATTTTTTAATGTCATCAAAAAGTATGACCATCCCAAATTGTACGGGATGTAAGTAGACAACTTACCCCATGTTTCCATACAGGTTAGACTGGATAAGTTACCCACAATACCGACAATTGGTTAAATAACGGATACTGAATGGACCCGTTATACAACCAATTTGTCACAAATCATACTCTAAACCTATAAGTTTATTAGCTCTAAAACATGGTAGATTAGCCCTGTCGAATTCATTTGATTTTTTTTGTTGTAAGTACTTATGAGTATGAGCAAACTATGGCTAGCCAATTTTAGATCGGTGTACATGTTTGTCTTAAGCACAGATTTCTAAGGTGATAATCAGGACTGGTAATCTTAGGTTAGTATTTAGGACCATAGATGTATTCAAGCAAGCCGCTTACTTAAGCGCCTCACCATCTTGTGTATAGTAATTCATTCTTGTTATTCTAACTACATGGTATCAGATTTTTGTTTACGATCCCTCCGGCATGCGCTTTTCGCAATAGATACTTCGATTTCACACTCGTTTGACATTAGCCGTTGTCAATGCCTTTCTATTGTCTCTCCTTTGCATTTAAAAGAGCTCTGCTTGGTACTGTAGTGTACACACTCTGACTTTTTTCACGAGCTAATCACTGCCTCTGCCATGGAGCAAAATTCCCATTGTTCAGATGACGAGAAACTGATCGGACGCAATACCTACCTCAACTGATCCACAAGAGTTAAGACTACACTACACACCAAAGATGCATGGGACTAAATCATCTTCAATCCCACTCCGCTTCTCGGTTTTCTACCCGAGTCGGTAATCTCAAATACCTACGCTTCAGAGCTATTGCTATTCTTCAAGCTTCAATTAGCAACGAAATCCTCTCCTACATTATTGCTTACAAAGAAAACCTTACGGACCTTTGGACTCATTTGCGTTCTTGTTATGAGTTGAACAACAATCAACGTCCCCTCACCTTGACATCCAAGCTCAACAACCTACAAATGTCTGAAGTCTCCTCCGTTGAGCAACATCTCTAGGTAGTTGACACCTTGTTTGGTCAGCTGACCAATATTGGCCACAGGGTTAACCACGCTGATTTTATTCATATCATTTTACGTCAATTACCACTGCCAACCTACCCAAACATGATTGCCCGCATGCAATCTCAACGGTGTGACACGGGAAAGCAATTCCACTACAGCTCGTTATGACAAGAATCATATCAAGCAGCAAGCTCATTATGATAAGCTTGCAGCGATATGATAATTGTGAGTATTGCACTAAGACCAATCACCTTATACATGATTATCACCCCAAGAAATTGGATGAAAAAATTTTCCAACTACAACTCCGCTCTGCCAACATGCGCCGTGCTTAGATTCAAGCTAAAGTTGCAGAGGGCTAGATAATTGCATTGACGTTTATCTAGGTAGTAATTCTGATAAGGAGATTAATCTTGTGTCTAATGATTCCCCTGAGTTTGTAATGGATTCGGAAGCTAGAACCCATGTCACAGACAACAGAAATATTTTATTAGATTATCACATGCAAACTTCTTCATAGGACATCACCACTGCTAGTGGTACTTGTTTACCTATTGTAGGCGTTGGCAATGCAGTTCTTGACAACAATAAAGATGTTAAAGGTTGTAAGTATGTGCTAGGCTTGACTCGCAATTTGCTTTCCTTTGGAAAACTTACAGACTTAGAACATCATGTATGGTTCAACAATAAGCTATGTCTAGTATCATATTGTTTAAATTATAGAATTGTGCATATTCAAGTTGACCGCGATCCTCAAAATGTACGGTACATAGTTCATGCTTCTTCTCATAGATTGCTACCGTACCAGCTTCAAATGCTTGTAGAGTCATAAGTACTCCAAATAATCTCAAATTTGTTGGCGTTTTTGAAAAGATACCATCAACCCTTCGATGCTTGTGAACTTTATCAATATGTGACAGAAGAGATCATGTGAACTGAATTATCAGACCGCCCAGCACATAACTACAAAAAATCTTGTGTATGACGTGTCTTACCTTCAAGTTGGGAAGGAGCGACAAGGTGAGTCTTGCATCCTCAGCAAAACCCATTGTTCTACTAAGGTGAAGACATCGGCGAAACAAACTATCATGACTCTCGAGCTCATACATAGCGATTTGTGTGACATGCTACGGTCAAATGATTGTAGTTATGTTCTAACTTTCACGGACTCACGATTTACTCACGATACTCACGATTTAAATGGCAGTATTTTCTGAAGCAAAAGAGCGAAACTCTCACGTCGTTCCAACACTTTATTGACATTGTGGAGACTTTACTTCTGCATAGGGTAGATAACTACCTTTGTAAACCATGACTGGTCACATGAAGTCTCCAACATCCGCTCAGACCAAGGTGGAATACAGCTCGACCATTGACATCCTTCGCCAACTGACTAGAATGGAATGTCTGAGCGGAAGAACCGTACACTTATTGAATTTGCTTGATGTATCTTCAACTCGTGTAAGTTCCATGTCCACGAGTACAGTACAAGCGATCGACTCTGTACGTAACATATGTGATATTCAAACACTAAATTTGTCTACTGCCAACACCAAATCAACACCAAATCTTTCAGATCTTTGGACAATTGGATGCACTTAATACGTGCATAAACCTTGGTCAAAGGGAGCTAAACTGGAGGTCAAACATTTTGCCGAGTGCTTCTTGATTATCCGTGGCTAGCGTTGTTGGGATCCGAATGCCAGAAAGGTAGTAATTTCCAACAATGTGATTTTCTTCGAAGACACACAAGACATTTTCAAGTTCCAATAGAAGTAGTTTGATGTCTTCCGTGATATGGACGACTACGAAGACCAAGCCGTCCACGACCAGACCGACATCACTACCACGGCCTCAGCCACTTCCATCAGAACTTCCTGATCTTTTTGCGAGCTCGCCTCAATCATCGACAGATTTGTTACCAACTTCTGAGAGCAAAGTACCAAGGAGCAATCCCTTCCAAAATCGCACGCTGCCTAGGTACTACAACCAATTTCACATGACAGGCAAGAAGTTTGTTAACTTGGTCGACACAGCTGAGTTGATGGATGATAAAATTTTGTTCAATGTGGCTAAACTCCACAAAGGTTGACAATGTGCTATGCGTGAGGAGTTTGATTCCTTGGTTGAAAATCTGACCTAGAAGTTAGTTCACCTTCCCTTGGCTGCAAGGCTCTATTATCTCGCTGGATTTATAAAACCAAGCAAGAGATCAACCGGGATCGCATCCGACTAAAAGCCAAATTGATTGATTGAAGTCTGGAGCAAAAGTTTGGTGTCAACTTCAATAAAACATTTGCTCTTGTCATTCGCTGGTCTACCTTGCAAGCTATGATCACACTTGCAGTATCTCTAGGGTGGGACATACACCACATGGATGTTAAAATTGTATTTCTTAATGTGAAGCTCAAGCAAGTTGTATACATGTAACAAACTTCCTAGTTTTGAAGTTGAGGGCCACAAAGACAAGGTATGTTGTCTTTTCAAATCCATATACGGCTTGAAACAGTTCCCCAGAAAATGATATGCCGAGATAGATATCTATCTTCGTGCCTTTGGCCGGTACTGTAGCCAACTTGATTCCAATTTGTATTTTCTCCAAGAAGGTTCTAAAGTTACTGTGCTCATGCTATATGTCGATGACCTTCTCATCTTTGGTAGTAGTAACTCTAGAGTTGCAGGATTCAAACTTCAGTTGGGTGCTAAGTATAAGATGAAAGACATGAGCTTGGTCAATTGTTACCTTGGGATTGATTTTATCCGTTCGGCCAATGGTGATCTATTTCTACATTAACAAAAGTACACAATCAACTTGTTGTCTGATGCAGACATCTCTGATGATATGACCAAGACCATTCCACTACCACTGGGTATTGTTACCGAGGCTGACAACTCCGCGCCTTCAGTTGATGCATCCCAGTACTGTCACTTGTTAAACTTATCTACTTATGCCATACTCGACCCGATCTCTCATATGCTGTCAGCCTGGTTAGTCGATTCATGCATTCCACTCAAAAATTGCATTGGCTAGCTCTGATTCACATACTTAAATATCTTAATTTTACAAAGTACTACGCATTTTGAAAAAACGTGGCGCTCCTTCACCGATGTAGAATATCTTAGTTGCAAAAACACTCGGCGGGCAATTGGTGCCTACCTATTCCAACTCGGTTATGAACCTGTTGCATGGAGACAGCCCGCTGAACCTGTTCAGAGACAGCCCGCTATCTCTAACAATACGACCGAAGCAGAATATAAGGCTCTTTCCGAGGGTGCCAAGGAGGCTGTGTACATCCGACCTTTGCTTCGGTAGCTCAACGTTCTGCCTCCTGCTCATGTTCCAATTGGCTGTTGTTGACAGCCAAGTTAATCAAGACCTCAAGACTGCTACTCCGACCTAGTCCCACATCCATCTATCTTGCGAAAATCAGGGTGCAGTCAAACTTGCTCTAAATCCACTTTTTCATGCTAAAACTAAACAAATTGAGGCAAAACATCACTTTATTAAAGACCGTGTTTTAGAGGGGGGATAGCGCTTGATTATATTCACACGGACAATAACCCTTCCGATTTACTCACTAAACCGCTGCCTGGCCCCAAGTTTCAATAGCACATACATGCCAGGGGAGTTCGATCTATGCACAGTCTAACATACCGGCACTAGTTTCCAATGCAATGATAGAAGCATTTCCTCGAGAGGGGCTGTTGGAAGTCCTTATGAGTCCTGTGGTAACTAGGGCTAGCCAACTTTAGATGCACTAGAGTTTTAAGCGCACTTTTTTAATTGTTAATCAGGACTGTTAATCTTAGGTTAGTATTTAGGACCATTGATGTATTCAAGCAAGGCGCTTACTTAAGCGACTCGTGTATAGTAATTCATTCTTGTTATTCTAACTACACTTCTGACGGTTTTTGCACCGCATTGTAAAACACTTGCGTAGCCGTTGCCAGTTCGTAGGTAAACTGAATAGAAGAATGAGGCCGTCGACCTTGCAACTCAACAAGTTCGAGACAGTAAACATAAATTAAAAGCTATCGATGAAAGTTTGCACAACAGGTACTGAATGAGTGAGTACCCTACCGTCGCAAGTTGGAAATTTATTCTTGCAATCTCTCTGCACAATATTTGGTACCAATTGTCATGCTGTGGCAAGATACTCTTTAATATCATCATACACGTATCGCGTAGATCTTAATATCACCTCTCCTTCAGCAAAGTAACTCATATAAACTTATCAGTCACAGCATATTGACACTGTTCGGATGTCAAGAGATGCTGCGACCTTTTGACTCTTTGATTCCATATTTCTCAGCAGTGGCGGTCGTAGCCTCCCATCTCACGATATGCCACTGTCTTGGAAGAGGCTGTTCGTGAAAGATGGCAAAATGCACCCCGGAAAGTATATCGTAAAGCTCACACAAGGCAAATCGGAAAGGAGATCTGATCACTCTTCCGAGATGTACATGTACGAGACTACATTTCCTCTCTTTCATGTGCGTCTTACGGCATCCAAGCAGACCACTTTCTGTGGTGCCGACGACAGCATGTGATGTTAGCATCTGACTTCCGGGAGGACCCATTGTGGATAAAGGATACGACGACCCGGTTGTACTTCTAAGACAGCCTAAAGCTCCAGGCCGAACCATTCATAATTGAGGCTGCACCAGAGCATAAGAAATACATAACAAGTATCAGATCTAGTTCAGGAAGACATGTCCTCATAATGTATTCATTCTGTACTGTAAGGGAATACAGTACAGACAAATCGCATAAATTAGCAGTTTGACCTGTTTGACAAGAGTCTAGTCGTCGTTGTTCCATGCTGGAATTGTTCTCACTACTTCAGCGTGAAGAAAGAAGAGCATCTACGGACTTTCGAGCTTCTTTCTCTACAGTGTGTGGTTCATCATAACATCACAGAAGATTCCAATCTGGAGCCCATGACCGGACTTATAGACTCGTACATTAGAAGAGAGGCCAAACATCAAGGACAAGTGAAGGAAATCGAGGAAAAGCGCCCAACAATGCACGAGACGTCCTCCTTAGCTGACCATATAAAACATGAACAGACCCGACTTGCGTCCGGGTCTGACTTCCTTTACTCGAACAAAGTTGGACAGGTCGTCTGTGGCCAGACGTAGGTACTCAACGAGAACCGAGTGCTATGACAGCAGATATTAACACCTTGGGCGAATGGCGCCACAAGAAAAAGACCAGGAAGACTGCATTCACAGCTGACAAAATCTGGCTTCCGCGTGGTGTGTACTGCTGACAATCCTCAGCACCAAGTGCTTTTAACAGATCTTAACGGTGTTTACAGGAGAAAGGGGTTATTATCCTTTGAAACCCCGAATTTTTACAGTTGAAAGCTAATGTCTACAGTAGGGTCTTAGACCACTTCTTTTCCAGAGCCTTGGACTCAAGTCTCCTTACTGTCCGAACTATTTCCCTTCTCTTCGCTCTTTTGACCGGCTCCACTAGAATTACTATCTGAGTCGCTATCAGACTCTGAACCCTCCACCTCTTTTTTCATCTCTTTCTTGCTGTTAAGTGGATGGCCGCCGAAGGGAGGATAACCATATGGGGGACCATAAAATGGTTGAGCCCCATATTGAGAAGAATGTGCAAACGGAGAGTATACGTATGGATGTTGGGGAGGGTATGCTCCTGGAAGGGGTGCGTAATTGTTTACAGGAGGCCAGACAGGCAAAGGTGGATATCCATTTGGTGCCCGCTGGACTGGAGCATAACCAGGATACATAAAAGGAGGGGGAAGTGAGCCAGGAGATGATGGAATTCCAGGAGTACCTGAAGTGGGCGGGACGGTAGGAACTGGAGGCAAAGCCGGTGGAAATGCAACAGGTGGACCCCTAAATGGAATATTTAATGGAGTTCTCGTTGACATAAGTTGCAGGTACCGAGGCACAGTTTGAGCGGTGGTCGGCGGTTTGCTCAAGATAAGTGGCGGCCCTTTCTTCCCGACAGTTTTCGGACCGAGAGGAGAAGTCTTGTGCAGAATTGAAGGCCCAGCAATCGAGTTCTGGTGAAAAGAAAGGAGAACAAACAATTTACATCAGTTTCGAGTCCATGTCTGAAGATTCAGGTAAGACCACTATAAACATAACGTCGAAAGAGCAGATATAATTCTCCACACACGTCAGGTCACACATACATGATCAAACGGCGCGCATACCTGTGGTACAAAAGTAGGGAACGGATGAAATAATAAATCTTGTTTTGCATCTTCATCCGACCTGCATGAACAGAAGAAACGAGTAAAAAAAAGTTCCAACATGTGACAGGTCAAAAATAGTTTGGGACAGCTCAAGTCACTCATTATAGTATTGCGGGTGGATGTTCCTTCAAAGTCCAATCAATCATACCGCAATTCCAAGTGTGAGGACACATAAACTGCTTTGAAGAAAAAAATAAAATGGTCATACATATGCCCACTACTTTCAATTGCAAAGATCTTTCTCTACTGCAATTATCAATCCAAGAGTCAGTCACCAGAACAGGCTGTCTAAAGAGGTGAGCCTCACATCTCCCGTTCCCGGTAAACTTATTCGCAAGTAGTTGCAGACAAAAAGTAACCTACCGGTAATACTTCTGCAGGAGATCGAGATTGCGATATTTCGTTTCCTTCCGCACAAGATCATCAGGGAAGCCAGCCATGAAGAGTAAAGTAATACCCAATGCTTTGAAAAAAAAGCTGCCGGTCCTAATATGGACCAAAAGGGCCATCTGACACATCAACGGCCCGAAAGATTTGAGCTTATTTCGTCCCATTCGCTGCCTGACATACCTGCAACAAACTTTGAGATTTGAGTATGATTGACACCGAGAACTGGTTCTCGGCATCTATGCATCGCATAATTTACAATATGATTCATTTTCGACTTGCCACATGAAGGTGACAGAAGCAAAGCTGATGCTCAAAACGATGAAGAAAAACGTACTCATTTTGGGGGAGATTACGTGTCCTCCCTCCGTATTTGATGCACAAGAAAAGGCATGTCGGACAACTAGGCCCTGCAGGTCTCATTGCCTTTTCTTCATCTAAGATCTTCACTGGACAAAGGATCGGATTCCGCCGATTGGGATAGAACATCTTCTGTTGTTTTCCTCCGGGGTAAGTATAAACCACATGTTCCTGCACGTAAAATAATAAGTGTAAGTTGCCTAGCCAAGCCAATGATATATCATCGCACCCGAAGTGACAACCGTGCTACCTCACAAAATCTAATATATCACAATCTGATATCACGAAGGGCGTCTTGTGTGATCTACTCGTTAACTAGACAGAAAGTCCAGCGAGCCAAAGTAGGAACTTTCAAGGCAAACGATATTCGAAGAATCCATAAACTATGCCACAAATGACTGTATCGCACCCCAGGTTCTTTGGGGGATTGGAATGGCTCCCCTCGCTTTTCGATGGAAAAGTTGGTAAAGTCGAGCTCATACAGATCCTCACAGCCATGTCTGATTCCAAGTGAAGCGAAGACAATGATCTTTCTCATGGTGTGCGATTGGGCATTCTTGAGAGCCAGCACTCCTGACTCCATAATTCGCTCCACTTCCTTGGGAGAAAAGGCCGTTTTCGGTGTTTTTCTGTATGATGACATAATACCCGGCCCTCGGCAAGTTGGAAGCTCGAGGCCAAAACCTCTTTTCCCGCCACAGGCCTTCTTCACTCGCCTGCCCTTCTTCCCATCTCTTCTCTTCTTCCCTCGCCGATCCTTCTTCAGATTGTCTTCCGAGTCATCGTCCTCTTGCTGTTTGTCACTGCAAGCGACCCTCGGAAACTCTCGGCCTCCTTCGACTTTGATGTCCAGCCCGACCCCTTCTCTCCCGTCGTCCCCTGGACAGACACCTTTCCATGCCTCGAGGCCTTCCCGTTTCCGTTTCTTTGAATCTCTGCCCTCCTTGACCTCGCGATCGTCCTCGAAGTCATCGTCGTCCTCGTCCTCGTCGTCCTCGTCGTCATCATCCGAGTCCCCAGAATCCTCCTTCTCGGAGACCATGTTATTGAGCTTTTCCAGATCGGCGGGCGTGACTTCCTCCCTGCTCATCCAGTTCACCGCAATGTCCTGCCTGTCCGAAGGCTGCTGCTGCATGCCGTCGGAGAGCATTGTGGGCTGCGGAAAAACTCCGTCTTCTTGCTTGATCGGCGCAAGACTGCTCGGGCAGCTGCGCATGGCTTTTCGCTCATCTTCCTCATCGCCCTCCTTCTGACACTTTTCAGGCTTTCGAGCCTTCTTACTCTTCTTGCTTCCATTGGCAAACGGACACCCCTGTAATACGAACCCAAACAACGTTCGATTTGCCAAGCTTTGGATTTGGTGGAACACATCGCTAGGCTACCAAGAGAGTGAATTGAGGTGCACGGCGGTCTAAGAACTCCATCACAGAAGCAACGAATTTCACCAAGCTGCTAAGACCAGAGGCTGAATCTTGACCGATCGAGAATCGCAGCCGAGACATTATGCACGTCACCTGGCAGACGCTAAGCTAAAGCTAAAGCTAAAGCTAACGCCGAAGCTTGCAGAGAGCTACGGATGTAAACACGCATTTCTGACCTAACTCATTCAAAACATGTCACAGCAATTTTGGAACGAACATGTTGAAAACAGACCCGGACGGAGATCGCAACTACGAGAAGAGAAGAGAAGAGACGAGAAAGGGATAGAGATAGATAGAGAGAGAGAGGGACAGTGACAGAGGGAGAGAAAAAGTAAGAGAGAGACATGTTTTTCATCTTTGCTTAGCTTAGCCTCGAGACTGGAAACGCGACCCTGCAGTTCGATGTTCTTCTGTTTCGTTCTCTCCAGCTCGGCCAGCACCTCCTGGAAGGAACCCGGTCCGGCAATGTGAGGGTACAGCAGAGCGGCCGGAGGAACAGACTCCGGCATCAAATGCGGATCGCTGCCGAAGGACGGTGCGTCGAAAGCATGACCATTGCTGTCGGGGATCGAGGGCTGCTGCGGATGGGGATGGGAGAGCAGAGTGTTGGAGGGCGTTTCGCCCGCAGAAAAATGGCGGTGATGGTGAAGGTGGTGCAGAAGGGGGTGCTGATCCTCACGCGGAGACGTCGGCACGTCCATGGGCGAATTGAACGATTCGTCTTCATCGGGTCTCGATCGCTTCAGCGACGGCAGCCGGGGGCACTCCTCGTCGCCCCTGCTGCTGCTGCTGCTAATGCTAATGTCCGAGAAATAAATCCCTCGCTTCTCGTCTCCTTCGCCGTCCGCTGCCGCGCCTGGCGAGGCCCGTTGATACGCAACGTGCGGCGCCGGGAGCAATCGCGGGGCGCATGGCGCTCGGAACTCCGCCATGGCCACCGTCTCTCACGCGGCCCGCCTTCCCATAAGAATGCCCGCCCTTCAGCTCGCACAGCCTAGCACTTGCAAGAACACCTGCGCCGCATTCGCAACAAACCCTCGCGAGCACTCGGCGCTCGCAGTCGCAGTCGGCGGCAGCGGCACGCAGATTGTTGTTGCTGTCGTTGTGACGCTCGTGTTCTTCTGATGATTACGATTCCGCACTGTCCATCGTCGGGGCCACTCCTCCTCGGGGCCTCGGAGCGCCACTCCTCCCCTCGAAAATCCCCATCTCACCGATCCCAGATTTCCGTCTTCCAGCATCCTCGCCCATCATCGGCCATCGTCCCCTGCAGCAGCAACAGCAGCAGCAGCAGGAGTAACCAACATGCACGCGCTCGCCCAACAGAGCAGCACCCTGTCGCTCGATCGCGCAGCTCGCCCGATTCATGCCACCCGAGCCCCGCCGCTGCTCCCACCGGGCGCCGCCCCGGGGGACGAGCAAATCTCGAGCTCCTCGCTCGCCCGCCCTCCTCCACCTCCTGCTGTCCCTGCCCCTGCCCCCGCCCCCCACCGCGCACCGCACTCACGTCGCCGCGCTCGCCCCCATCGACGGCCCCCTCCTTTCGAACGAGAACTGTAAAAATCGAACGAGAAGCTCAGAAAATCGCTCCGCTCTCGGCCGATCGGCAAAACCGCAACCCGCTTGCTCCTCACGACGACAACTCGATCACCTCTCGCGCAGCTGAATCGTTTTCTCTTCATGAGAATTCCCTCCCTCTCTCTCTATCTCTGTCTGCGATCGAACTCTTCTCTCTGAGACTGCGACCAACGACGAGCAGCGGCAGCAGGAGCAGCAGGAGGAGGAGCAGCACGCGGAAGGAAGGGGGAGGGGGAAGGGGAAAGAGAAGCCGGAGGCCGGAAAGAAAGAACGACGGAGGGAAGGGAAGGGAAGGGGCGAAGGGGGAGGAGGGGGCGGCGTGCGCGGAGGAGGAGGGAGGAGGAGGTGGAGGAGTAGAGGAGAACTGGAGGCTGTCTCTCGGACAGGGCCCGCGGCCCTGCCACGGAGGCCGAGGGCGGGGGCGCTTTACTCGCCAACGGGCGGGCGGGAGGCTCCCAGGTGGCAGCGGGGCATTCGCTTCGGGGGCGAACGCGCGTCCGCTCTGCCACTCTGGCACCCACTCCGCGCGCCCACCCGACTTGTCTACCGTTCCTTCTGCTCTCTCTCTCTCTCTCTCTCGACGGCGGTCTGCGCCGGTCTCTGCCGGTCGCTTCGATGTTCGCGACTGCCCTGCGAACTCTCCGATCAGTCAGTCATGTGCATGCTCTTCGTCGCCCTCGAGCCTCGAGGTTGATGTCACGCAGCCAGCCATGCACGCTGTCGACGAGGCCATTCCCTTCCACCTTTTACTCCTCGCTCGGCAGTCATATTGTACTCTTGTATTCCCCCCCAATCAGGGGAAATGACAATATCAACCTTTTGCAATGATCGGATCCGACTTCTCTAATCCGAATTCATCTACTTCCGTGGACCTGGAAGGCATCACGATTCTGATCGTAGACTCGCGGATTTGTCCACGTCACTTCTATGTCTGTAAACCTGTGTCGGCTTATAATATTCAAATCTCGCATCTTGCATCTATTACGCATTGTAAATAAACTTGTGCATGTGACCACGTCACTTTTACATGCATAAAATTGTGTTCGTTTAGAAACGTATAATATCACGTGCCTAATGGTGACTGGCATGTATGTATAAAATAAACGATCTACACAAAAACGTTTACTCGTTCATAAGGTCATCTAGTAAGATTATTCACCATACAAATCGAATAATTGACTCCCTTCTGCATGTAAAGTGGATTTGATATTAACGTAAATCGAATTTTACATATGTCTCATGAACTTTTGTTATAAGATTTCATCTTATAACTAACATTTGACTTCAGTGTTGAACTCAAAGCTCCCGAAATGCTTCATCTCGTACATCACTTGGACGATTGCCTCATTCCTCCTTGCAAGTCTTTCAAATCATTTACAAATCTTATATATTTGCTCTTCTCTATTCAAAAGCAATAATAATCTACAAGCACAAATTGTGATGGATGTCATTCTGTGGGAGCTTAGAAGTGATTACTTTTGTGTGAAATTTATCTAGAGAGGCTCTAATATTCTGCGACAGATAAAGGGGTGGAATAGTGTAGAACCCAAAGTTTGTTGACCAGAGCTAGCTAATTTTACATTGTAACATTGGCTCACATGACATGTATTTTGTGCCTCGTTGACCGAGAAAATGTATAAATATCGCAGCACACATGGAATATCTGTCTAAGACATGTTTCCCAGGGTGATAGATATGGAGACTCCTGGCATCTCACTCCTTTGGTTTCATCCATGTGGTCTCCTCATCCGTTTTGCTAAACTGTTCTTACTGCTTGTTGAACTATTCCGAACCTGCTCTGCTCGAAAGTCGTAGTGGGACACTTGATGATCTAGAGAAGGCCAAATGCTTTTCCATGGGTCGATGAAAATCATTTCCTCTTTTCCCTCCAGAGAAGGCCAGATGCTCCAGCGATGGCTGGGATCTGCTATGCGTAACCTCACTTATTTCTGTAGTTCTGTTTCAATTGATTTTCTGGCTGCATGTTTTCACCGATTGCCTTGTAATGTCTGCGCTGCCATGTGAAGGCGAAGGCCGATGCTAAGGCTATCGGCTCTCGAGTTGTTCCTTCATCATCCACAAGGCAAATTCTCCCACCATCTCCTCTGATAAGCACCGCAGAGCATCATGAGAATGGCCGGACAGCCGACGCCAAGAAATGGCTATTTTCATCTTGCACTTACATTATACGATTAAAGCACCTCGTTGCAAAGTATCAGACATCTTTGCAAAGTTTAAAATCTTAAAGTATCAGACATCGTTGCAAGCTTTCGAAGAATCTTTCAGAAGGTACAACTGTGCTCAGCATATTTTCCCTCGTCTCTGATCGACCAACTTTCTTGACCCTACCATGAGAGAATTAGGGAAGCCAGAGCATGTTCCTTTGCACAGTCCCCGTACACGAAGCATGTGCACACAATGCGGTTCTAAAATCACGCGCAAGATCGATAGAATGTCCTTGTGCCGATCTTGTGACAAACACGTGAGCATCTTGAAGGCCACACCTTTTCATCTTTTGTTTTGATCTAACCTCCTTGCGATGAAGGTTATCCTGACTGCATGTTGTTGTCTGCATGTTGTTGACTCGTTTGATACAGACATCTGAACGATTAATTAACAAGGGAACCTTTGCATGAAACTAACGTAGAAGGATAATCCAGCAAAAAATTACGAGGAGTTTATCATCATGTTCGATTCATGTGTGATCATCATCTTTATTTGCGAAGTAATAATTTCTTTCTGGAACATACTCTCACTTGAACTCAGATATACCTGACGATGCATTGATCACAACAATTATTTTTCCATCGTAATACTATCCCTCTCCTTCGTATTTATCAAAATTGCCAACTTTTTTGCATCATAATTTCCAATATCTCTTGCAAGTAGTAAATGTGATTGTTTAGACTACCTATATGATCACATTCTGATCAACAGGATATGTCTATACTTCTGTTAGATAGTGCTATGTCAAATATACTAACACAAATATTATATGTTCTACAAAATATTAGAGAGATTTATGCTTCAATACATTTTTTCCAGATTTAATTTCATAAACTAACTGTGTTTAATTTAAAAAATTTAATGTTATTTTTATGAATCAAATGTAAATAATTATATTTTCGAGATCTACATAAATTACGTAACAAAAAAGCACAATTTTTTGAAATATCTAGCAAGCTTAACCAGCATGTGGATTGCAAATAAGCGGCATTGTTTTGAAATTATCCCGCATACATATATATAAAATAGATTTTTATGATGATGATAAATATGATTATATATTGGGAAGTTTTACACAAATTCGTCTCATTTTAAGCAAAGCAGTATCAATTTAACTTGATGATTGCAAACAAGACTCTATTATTTTGAATTCAAAAGTAATGGATATGACATTTTTTTAAAGAAGTTAAAACTGCTAATAGTATGAAATAAAAAAATGAAGTTCTTGACAGTCACAGAATAAATATTTGGTGACTGTGAAGAGCATTGTTATTATTTTTATGATTATTAAAATGTTTATTAATCTCGCAATCTTTGAAATTATATTATTCAAGAATTTGAAATCTTCTTTCATGTTGATAATTTTTGTTTGCATTTTATTTCTTAGTATATCAATCTGAGTCAATTGTATAGCCTGAAGTATATTGATGTATATAATAAATACATTTAACTTCTTTTGAGGAGGGAGTAAATAAAAAAAATTTATGAAAAATTACTATTACTTCAAATTAAACTGTATTCAGATATGTATAATCAGTTTAACATGTTTGAAAAGTATTATATTCTAAATTTATACATCAATAAAAACAAGCAAAGGCTAGACAACAAAAAATTGATTTATTTTGTGAAACATTCAAATGCTCATAGTTAAGATGAAGCTCGATATTTAATGAAAATATAATATTTTCATCTAGTATTTAAAAATGTATTTCAAAATTTTTTACGTTCAGGTTAATATTTCAATATTTGAATTATATAAAATGTGAAATAAATTTCAAAAATTTAATATTATGCTTATTAGTTATATTTTATGCCATCATGTTATAGTCTACCATATTAATCACTATGTTCATATTCTTGAAACTTGAAAATATTATTAATGTACATATTAACATGCTAGAATTAGTTAAAATACCAATACCAATACGTACATTAATTTTTAAATTGAATATCACAATTGTAAAACCTACATCGACGAAATCACATACTTTATCAGCTAATGATGTTAATACAGATTTTAGAAACATTGAAGCAACATTGACAGTTACAAATTCCTTGGTTGTTGTTTGAAGAGGTTCGGACCATAGATGTGACATTGATTCATCATTTACTATATCAATGCTGTATACAATATCTTGTAATATTTACTTTTCGACGTTATCCAACACAATGGATTTCAGGGTTATGCAGTTTGACTATCTTGTTGAATTTTGTTTATAAACAAATACGTTAATAGACCAGTTTGACGTTGTCTGTTGACTCTCATCGGTGGTGATGTTCTATTAAAGTTAATGTCTAAACTAAAACGTAGATTGTGAGATTCACAGTAGCATGGCAGGCGATTAGAAGTGAGACAAACAGATCTTACCTAAAGCTCTTGATACTTCTTAAAATATTGTTTAGATAGTCTCTTTGTGATGATAACATCGATGTGAAAGATACCACACTACTTGCATGCATGTGATAATTCTTGAACCGGAAACTACATTCTTGAAAATTCAAAGAAACCCTTGCGCATATAAAACAATCAGAATTTCTGCATTGACCACCCAAAGGTTATTCTGAATAACCAGGGCATTTGATTATGTTCTTAAAGGAGTACCTATTTGCTGAAGACTACACTACCCACATTTTAATAAGGGTTGTAGTTACTTATACAGTTATATGTAGTTCGTGGACAACGTATTCACCACTGTCCGCAACTCTTGATGAATCAGAAGTTAAGGACATTGTAGCTTCTGGAGACCACACGACATCATTCTAGAACGAAACGATTAATCTCTAATGATACATATGCGGTTACCAAATCTGGGCAAACTCTATCCCATTTTGCTGAATGACGTACAAACAAAACTGCGAAAACAGTTGCAGTTGCGGAAGCTAAGGCCTTCTCTGACATCATTACGGCAATGTCAAGTGGAGGTGGCAAGTGAAGGCCACTAGTTCCAATCTTCCTGAGTGGAACAATGGGAGCCTCTCCCTGAGCGACTGTGTTCAGCAAAAGTTTGAGGTTTGAGGCTGCCCTCTCTTTTCAAGTCACTGTCATAATGTTTTCTACTCAGCGGTAACAAGCTGAATATAAAGTGATGAAAACTGGACGAAGCAGGTGAACACTCAAGAAAGGTGGTACAGATGGAAATGACTTGATGGTACAATAGCAATTTGCCGAAGTTACACTATCAATTGAATAGGAGAGTTCTATAAATACACCGTTGAGTCTAGTCTCAATCTAAGTAGATTTGAAGCGACTGCTCGCTCGAAACATGGCAGCACCGAAGCCATGTCTAGCAGTCAATCATACCTTCTTCACACCACTAGCATAACTTTAGTTACATGGGGTTTTCTCTATTTTCAACATCATGGGGATAGGATCCTTTCTAAGCTGATCAGTAGGGCTCTTCAGAGTGGAACCCGATAGAATTATTCCGCAACGCTCACTGTGGTGACTATGTGACAGCATGGCAAAATGGGTGGGCTCAATGAGGTAATTGACACGGGTTATTTCGGATTCCATCCTCTACTGGTCTTCGCTCCCTGGCCGGCAAAACCTTCACACAGAAACAGATGACAGTCAGACTTTGAAATTTGCATGATCTCTTGGTTCCGAGTATATTATGCAGACCCAGTTTATGTATGTCAAAGTACATCCGATGGCTGCCCTTGTGATAAAGGCTTATGAAGAAGCTATTAGGCTGATCCACTTCAGTACAAACTGTAAATCACGGAAAAATTAGAAGATAGCAAAGTAGTCATCTGACAGTAGGTTTTTGACCTTTTCTAAGAAAGCATTCAATTTTGATCGTAGAGCTTTCAGATCAGAGAGCACGTAGAGGATTTTAAACAACATACCGAAGTATCTATAGAAGTTGTAGCGTTGGCTCGGTGGTAGGATTTTCTTCTGCGCTCCACCTGCTTTTAGAGAAGCGTGGGGGGAGTGAACAGCAATATCTCTGTCTCTACTTGCTGCATAGCGAGGTTCACTTCCACCCTGACTGGCTGGGTAGCTCCCACCTCCTCCGCCTTGGTTGCGGCTAACTAGACCTTCCCCAGCAACTCCTCCTTGTTTAGCAACACCACCACCATCATTACCACCAACAGCAGCAGCAGCGGGACCAGCACCGGCACTCATTCGTTCCTTAGGAGCTGTAGCTGATCTTATTGCTTTCGGCGCCTTGGCAACGTTCGCTACTATCCTCCGTGATGTTGTAGTAGGTCCACCGTCTGAAGCAGTATCACGAGGGGTATCACGGGCACGAGGAGATGCCCTTACCCTTGGTACTGCTCGAGGAGATTCCCTTACTCGCTGTCCTCCTCGAGGAGAATCCTTCACCCGGACTCCCCGAGAAGGAGAATCCTTTACCGGATGTCCACCTCCGGCTCCAGCCCGACCTGCACCTGCAACCACAACTTCACTTGCACTAGCACTAATCCCACCTGCACTACCCTCAGCATAAGAGCCTCCTCCTGCAGAGTCTGGTGTTCTGCTGCTGTTGTACTCCTGCTTTACTTGCGAACTAGAATAAGTTGCTTCACTTTGATACGATCCGGATGGAGGTGGATGTCTAGCCTCCGTGTGCCCTCTATCTACTGCCGTTTCCCCGTTCCTGCAGAGAAGTAGAGGTTCGTAAACAAAAGTGAGATGACGATTCGAACAGATTTGACCATATGGTTGAAGCTGAAAACTCGAGCAACGGTTGCTACTTTGAAACAGGGGGAAAGCATAATGACGCACACTTCAAGTCTAAATCAGTCTCAGTCTACAGACTGAGCTCTACAAATTCTCAAAGAGATGCCACTTCTTACAGCCACGACACACTGTCTCGTTAGCTGTGCTGACTGAGAACCGACACTGTTTGTTCAATTTACTTCGTTGCTCTTGACAGGAACATCAGAACCCTGTTTGCTGTAATATCTTGCACATTGTTTGAGAACTTAACTCTTAAAGGTCTCAAGCCAAGAAGAACTATTGTACAGCATACAAGAAGCCCAGACATATCTAAAACCAGAGGATAGAAGAACTAAATTGGACTTAGAAATCAGAAGAGCCATCTGGCCGACTGATTACTTCGTGGTTAATTGACGAATAACTTGACTTTTAATGAATTGGGTACAATGACAAAGGTCCCAATTGCTGCAAGTGAGAGGTTTTGTTTGGGTGGGGAGAAGGTCGTACGTCCAGTAAATGGAGGTCGGGCCAAGGCCATAGATCTTCTGCTCACTGCAAAGTAAGGAAACGGATCAGTTGATGGAAAAAAATCCTATAAACCTACCAATTGAAACTTCTCCCACCAGTGTTGCCCTCGATCAAACTGGGTCAGCATCCCACTTGCTCAGCAATTGAAGAAGACAGGCCAACATTGTTCAGCAGAAGCTTGATCGGATTAGAATACTCAGGACATTTCAAGTCATTTATGAGTTGGTGCATCAAGGCACAAACTGATGCAAGGTGACACCAATGAATCTAATTCGAAAGTTTGTGCTCACGAGACACAAACTCATTCAATATTGTCAAATTCTCTTCTGAGTTGACATGATGGCAACTCAACGAGATGATGAGGTATGGGAACATCTTACCCAAGTTCGCTCAGCTTCGGCTATCCATGTTAGGGCAGTTAGTCCTCACAGTCCAGACATGTGGAATCTCACCTTCCTGACTCCTTTTGGAAGCAAGAGGTTCCAAGAGAGTTCACAGGTTGGACTTTTCTGGTAAGTCGTGGGTGGTCAGCCTTCAAGTGATCGTCTAATATCTGAGGCTCCGTCCTGCAGCCTCCATTGTAGTCTATATCATGGGTCGTATGGAACATGTCATCGCAAGGAACTCTAGCTCTGGCAGCAAAGTTGCAGTCTCCATTGTGATTGGATGGAGATCTACAGCCTGTAACATACAGACAAACGAAATGTTTCGTCAGCCAAATTTGCTGAATCACGAAATATTCACCAGCAATTTCTGGCCTTGACTTGTGACTAGGAAACTATGCTTTTATCAGGAGTTCCCGGAAGCATAAGAGACAGAATTCTTTGCGTTTCAGAGACACCAATTTCGTGATGGTCGTAAAGCGTATGGGCACCTGAAAAGCAGATTACTGTGTATCCGTTAACAACAAATCCAACGAAGATTACCTTGTCGTGGACTGTGGATGCGTTCACCGATGCGCAAACGCTCAAGTTCGGACTTCAGCTCATACAGTTGCCTTGACAGCGCCTCGCATTTCTTATTACACTCGGCATGCAACTCGTTGTGCCTGCAATGAACCCCTAGGGCCTAGACATTTCGACACATTTGTGACATGTCAAAACAGGGTAGAATTTAGCCGGGCACCAATCGATCTCAACAGTAAACTTTTATGGCCTATGCTGAGTCTATCTGAGTGTGCCAACGAGAAATTTTCCAGATTGCCCTGCGGCGCCTTCATGCCCGACATATGCAAATTCTACTCAGATCAGCAACACCTGACGATGGCAGGCAGTTGGGTTAGGAACAAATGTGAGTCACGGAAAGATTGCATGTAAGTCAACCCTCACCTCCGAGCTTAATGCAAGGTAGAACCTTCCGTAGTCCTGATTCGTGGTCTGCCACCGCCAAGACTGGTCCTTTGTACCGGGAAAAAGAACCACTGCTCAGCCAGAAAACGAAAGATAAATTGCATGCATTTCGATCAGATGATGTGATCTGTTGCAATGTTGAACTCATCGTCACGCACTCGTGGACGATGTGCAAAACTAGTCAAAATATGAGCTTATTTATGACATACTGCCTGTGATCGACCAAGCAAGCTGTGATGACGCTGCGCTGCGCATAGCTTGGTTGGTCCAGCACAAGCAGTACGCCTATCACTTTGTTCAGTTGTCTGCCTGCCCGCTCGCCCTGGGACGGTAGAAATTAGACATCATGGACGAAATAGAGTGCGCAATGCTCCCTGCCGCAGAGTTGTGAGGATGGACCGGACTACCCAGACTTCCGTACAGCTGCACGAAACAGTTTCCCGGGCTGTTTGACTTGTTCTTGACAGAGACCTACGTAGTGTCTAATTGCATCGAGAGGAACACAATTGTTGGCGAGCATCTTCCAAACTCCGCCGCATCCATATGATTGGAGTGCACTGCGAGTGACCAATGAATTGCACCCGGATAGGTGCGCCACACCTAATCTTCGACAGCGCATCGATTCAACAGGTACTCGAACATCGACAACCTTCTTCCTCTAAGATTCTTCTCCTTTACATTTGCTTTTGGCTCAATAGACCTCGTAAAGCGGGCGAAGAAGCTCAATTCCTAGGGTTGGATTCCGGGCACGCACTGAGCAGAGCAGAGCAGAACATGACCAGGGAGGAGCGAGGCAAAATGATTACCCATGGCTAAAAGTCACAGCAGCGCTGTATTATGGTAAAGTCAAAGGGGTCTGTCATGACAACGTCGACTGTAGACAGTGGCGCATTTCAGTCAGTAAGCCATGCAGATGTCAGCCTCCCTCCCTCCTCTTCCTCCCGACGATGTTCGCCCGAATTTACAGCACCGGCGACGACATCATCATATCTTCTTCGCATCTTCACCCCGCTTCCATCGCGCTGTTACTTGATCCGTCGCTCGCAATTTCGGAGATTCCACCGGCGCGCTGAAATCGTCAACACCCGACCCAAGTCCGCTCAACAGAGAACGCCACGGCACGGGAAAAGAAAGGGAAAGGAAAGGAAGCGAAGCGAAGCGAAGGGAAGAGACGAGACGAGAAGAGAAGACACGAGAAGTGTGCCGAAGGGGCGACGCTGCGAGAGCGCAAGCGTTGTGGCCTGTGGACTTGCCGAAGGGCAGGCGTCGCGAGGACAGACGAGGAAAGGCGAGGCGACGAGGAGAACGTTGAGGAGCACGAAGAGGAGCACTACGACGACGAGGACGAGGACGAGCGAGGGAAGCGAAGGAAGCGAGGCAAGGCGGAGATCGAGGGTTTAGACGAAGAGAAGGGTCGTCATCCGAGGGGACGACGCGCGGTGACGGCCGTTGGGATTCAAATTTCGAACGGGCGAATCGCACCAACCAGCGGCGCGGCGCGGCTCCGGATTATTCTTATTATCCGTAAGAGCCTGGGTTTGTGCTTCCGCCCGTTCCTAGTCTCCCCCCGCGCTCGCCTTCTTGCTTCGCTCGGGGCTCGGGGCTCGGGGGCTCGGGATCATGTCAAACGAAAGGATCGAAGGATTCCATTCCTTGGCATGGGATTTCCATTGCGCGGCAGCATTCCAGTGGCAGGAGTCAAACCCCCCGCGGGCGGCGTGTCCTTTTCGATCTGACCATTCGCATGCGGCGTCGGCAGCCGGCTCGAATCGGATGCTCTGGTCGATTTCGGCTCGGGCGGCCTGGGAATTTCTTCGCGTTCACACCTGTGCAGGCTCGCGCTCGCGGATCTGAGCGCCGCGCGTGTTCCCACGGCGCTTTCATTTCGGGGCATTCGATCGATCGATCGAATGTTCGTTCGTTGATTCGTTTATTGATTGGTTCAGTCGTTGATTGGTCGTGCACATTGCTGATGCTGACGCTTCTCTTCTCTTCGGGCTCGAATGCAGCGATTCTAGGGATGATGGCGAACGCAGTCAGCAACACCGACAGCGGGTCAGCGGCGGCTCGGAAGAATCACAATACCATAACTCCCGCTTCTGCTGCTGCCGCCGCTGCCTCCCCTCCTCACCCGCTGTCCAAGTCGTCGTCGTCGATGGTCGATGGCGTCAAGGAGCCGGCAGAGTATTTTGCCAAGTACAGAATCTACGAGCGAGATTACCTTCGCCGAATAAATCACAAGTACTTCTCGGGCAAGAAGTTCGCGGGGTCGGGTCGAGTTTTCGAGACCATCACTTCTGTGGATGGGTTCACCGTCAAGGAGAGCAGTGAACCGCCCCTCAAGAGGTTTCTGGAGATTCCTAGTTCTCTCGAGGAGCATTCTCAGTCGGGAGCCCCCCCGTCTGCCAAGAAACCGTCCCGACGAAAGCCTTGACTCGACTTGTCGATCTCAGACCGTCCGTGCTTCATGAGGACAGTCGAGTAATTGCTTCGATCGCTCGGTTGCCGTTGTCGGGATACATCGAATTTGGGGTAACCAGGCGCTTTGCTGTTTCATGAGACTTCGGTGATCGATGGAGTAAGTATAGAGTAGGAGTCGTACATCATGTTGTCCCTTCCGATTTGAGGTTGTCGTTTGTAACGAGAAGGATTTGCACTCGAGTATTGCAAGTTATTTTTGACCGATTTAGTTCGATTAGATCCGGATCCATTTCTTTATCATTTACGTCAACCTCAGATATCCAACTTTCAACATTATATTTTACAGGTGTGAATCAAATTTACGAGTATTCAAAATTCTAGTATTGTCTATCAAAACTTTCATTACATTGCATGCAAGTTTGTTAATGAATTTAGTAGTTGTACCGGAAGGTGGTTATGATATAAAATTTCCGCATCCAGTATAATAACATACTGTCACTTTAGACTGTCGTTGATCATCATTCTGATGCTTTTCAAGCTGATGAGCTGAATTCAGAGTTTCGGACATGTCATGAGTTTTTCAGCTGCAATGACGTAGGTGGATAGGTAGGATAGTGAATGAAGACAAGCATACTTTACAAATTTGGACAAATGAAATAGCAGCAGACTCCGCTTGATTCGAATGTACAGTACAGACAGACACGAGTAAATTCCTCTCACTGAACTACGAGTGGTCAACTGTCGGCGTAATTAATGAAGGGATGTCATATCATTCATGCGGTCCAACGTTAGAAAGATTGGAAACTGATATGAAGTTGGCAGGTAACCAACTTGATGGAACATACAATTTCTCACACACCTCATATACAAAACTGTGTTCTCTGCTTATTCCAACAGAGCTTTGCTCTAAAAAATCGCTTTAAACCATGCGGGCTCAAACTAATGCTAACGAGAAACCTCGTGGACCTCTAATGTACAGTGTGGTTTTACAGTGGTCACAGAAATCAGCTTCGTCGAGGCATTGCAACCAGTTGCAATGCCGTGCAGAGTTTTGCGCGGAGGTCGGACGAGCGACTAATGATGACCACCCATTGCGGGGGGGCACTGAGCTTGGAAGTAGCCAATCGCCTCGCACATGTTGCCCAACATGTGATCGGAAATGCACCAGGGAGAGACCACGATCTCGGCCAGATCTTCTTGCTGCGCCTCGTGCATGATCCAGCGAATGCTCTGGGCCTCGTCGAATGTCGGATACGTGCCGTAATTCCTCTGCGTCGCGACGTCACTCCTTTGCTGCGGCATCTTGCCGCAGCCAGGAGGGTCACAGCCCAGCACCAGCAGCCTCCCGGGAGGATACAGCGGCGGCATCGGGTCGGAATTCTGCTGCTTCTCGTCCTGCTCGTCTCTGTTCTCATTCCCCTCGATGTAATCCTTGGCTTGCTTCCCGGCGCCCTTGACTTTGTCGGCCACGTCCGAGTCGGCCACCCGATCGTACGCCGTCTGGCCCCAGGCCTTCACCTTCTGGCCCGCATCGGACCCGGCCACCTGACTGCCGACATCCTTGGCCGTCTGCCCAGCTCTGGATTCCTTGACCTGCTGGCCCGTCTCGCTCGCGAGCTTCACAGCCTCGGCCTGCGCGCGCTGGCACGAGCGCATGGCGTCGAGGGCCTTTTTGATGTTCTGCCAGTCCGCATCGTCCCGGGCCACGGCCTCGGCGTGATCCCAGTCGAAGCGGCCGATGCGCTCGCGCAGATTCTCGACGGAGGCCAGCGAGAAGCGCGGCACGAGGTCGTGCGCGGCGACGAAGCTCGTGGTGAACTCGGCGCAGTCGCGCGCCAGCTCGAGGCTGAGGCAGGCCGGAGGGCAGAAGGCCCAGCACTCGAGGTCCGGGAACCGGTCGCGCAGCCGGAGCCCGCACATGGCGCCGACCGCGGCGCCCATGCTGTGACCGGTGATGACCAGTTTCTTGTCGCGGCCGCCGGGCGCCTCGAAGGCCTTGAGCAGATGCGGCAGCGCCTGCTCGAAGAGCACGTTGCTGGCGTGCGCGAAGCCGCCGTGCGCCGTGCCGTCGCAGAACGGCTCGGGCGACGTGCCCGAGTTGAGCAGCATGTCGATCACGTGTGACGTCCCGCGCACCGCGAGCACGACGGCGCCCATGGGCGCGTCCACGAACACGACGTAGGCCGGGCGGAACGAGTCCTGGCACGGCTGCCACTCGCAGGCCACGATGGCCGACTCCGGCAGGTGGCTGAAGAGCGAGAACGACCCCGAGTCCTGCACGTACGCCGACTCCGCCTGCGCCCTCCAGTGCTGCGCCCGCATCAGAAACTCCGCGTCCCGCGCCTCCGCCTCCACTTCCTTCCCGGGCATCGCCGGCGGTTCCTTCTCCGTCACCTGCCACATCCACATCCGGGCTCCCATGTCAGCCTCGACGTCTCTCTCTCTCTCTCTCTCCCCGATTCCGCCGCTGCGGTGCCCTTCCCATGCGGGCAGATCGATGCGCAGGACGAGGTAGAATCGGATACACGATCGATCCGGCTTTACGAGACAGGCGATTCGTTCGTGCTGCGAGGAATTTCACGATGAAATCTAAAAGGAATGTAACAAGGAATTTTACGAAGAATTTTACGAGGAATTCTACGAGGAATTCGACGACGACGAGTGGCGCTCGTCGATGACTGTGATTCGAGGGGAAGCGAGTGCATCACGCAGCGTGCAGGAAATATTTGAGAATTGTTCGAGCTAGGATGAGGATGAGGAGGAGCACGGTACCTTAGCCATGGCGGCGAGGCCGAGGGTGAAGTCTTCAAGAGACCAGGGGCCCATGTTGGATTGCACGCAGGTGGCTCCGCGCGCCAGGACCTGCATAGGACTCCCCCCGCCACCGTCCCCTTTGCCGGCGGCGTGCTCTCGGATCTTGCCCCACGCTCTCTTGCTGGCGACGTAGGCCACCACGGCCGTGCATCCCAGCAGCAGGAGCCTCACCATCGCCACAATGTCCGACCCTCCGACAGGTCCGAGCTGAATCTTCTGCACCTGCGTCAGAACTCTAGAAACAGCGGCCAAGTACTTTGCGACGAAGCTGTGCCATAGGCTCCGAGCGCTCGATCCACCCGCAGCAGCAGCAGCAGGAGCAGTAGAAGCAGAAGCTCGAGCTGCAGTCGATGAAGAATGTCTGCGGCCCCGTCGAGGCCTCCTCGATTCTAGTCCGATCAACGCCGCCCTTCCGAAATCCGGGGTCTGAATCCCATACCCACTGCCGCACCTGCACGGAACTCGGCTTTGCTTTCTACTGCGGATCGAACAAGTCCAGCGAGTGCGGAGATCGGGCGACGCGAGAAGCTGCAGGTGAGCAGTGCGAGCCACTGCAGCCATCGACACGTAGAGCGCGCGAGTGGCTTCCGATGCGAGCCATCGTCGTCTTTGTAGGCACAAGTCTGCCGGGCGCCCAGCTGGCGGGGTTCCGGGGCCGCCACGGGTGATGCCGGACTGGCGCATCGGCGCCACCTAAGAGCATGCACCACGACACCTGGCGCTCCCTCTGAGACCGCTTATTGCTTATCGCCTCCCACTCGCTCCCACTCGCTCCCCTCTCCTCTCCTCTCCCCGCTCGAGCCTCTCGATTCTCGCCTCTGCTCGATCGTCATTCCCCGGATCACGACCGGCGGAGTCGCAGCTCTTCTCGTCTCCTCTTCGTGACAAGTGGCAAGCTCGAATTTATTCGAGCTCCATTTTGCTGCTCATTATTGCATTTCTGGTGCTGTCCGGTCACGTGAGGCAGACGATGTTCAATCGTTTGCTTCACTTTCTTCGCTTGGGACCCGAACTGGCTTTGCTCTCGGAACCCATCAGTTCGTGGAGGGAGATTCGAGTGTCAGCATCTGCCTGCCTGCCTGCGGTAGTACCGTGTCCAGATGGATCTGCTGATGGATGATGACCGATTGGTCGCCCCAGGTTGTGGCCCGAGATCGTCCACGTTGGAACTTGCTGAAAGAGGACGCGATGGACATATTGAGTACTATCGAAGTACAAAAAGCTTCTGAAATCTCGATCGGTCTGCTTGTTGTTTTCAATTCCGACTTCCCTCCCCTCCCCTCCCCTCTTCTCCTCCCCTCTTCACTTTCCCTCGTTGCTGGTGGGGCTTGCCTGCATTCAGTCGAAGAAACCTGAAAGTGAAATGGTTTTCTCAAAAATCCTTGTCTTTTCGTCAATCTCTTCCCATCGTCGTGGGCGATGGGATGTTTCATCGACGAAGACAAGAGCTCGTCGCACCCTGGACCTTCCAGACGGCGGCGCGTTTTGTGGAATGGAAAAACTGTTTTCCATTCCACTGTAAACGCTGATGTCGTCAAATTGCGGTCAGTCTCATCACATGGGGCTTCAATGATGCTCATGGTCCCACGATCAGGACGACTCTGCACCATGATTTATGTCCGAGAACGATCTCTCGTTGTCGCTTGCATGAACGTCTACATCTCGACGATTTTATACTGAAACCCTGGGCCCAAAGAGACGTGCCCCGACCGACTCCATCCTTCAAACAGAAGTAGGAGAGTTCACTGACACTGCCAGGAGTTAGCTGAACATGCTCGAAGTCCTCCTGCAAGGTTGCTCTTTCGAGTTAGAGGCCACACGTCTCCTCAAACGAGACAACACAGATGGACGATAGCTCGTGTCGATTGAGGAGACGTCCAGAGACGTGCCTGGGGCCAAAGATACGTGCCCCGACCGACTCCATCCTTCAAACAGAAGAAGGAGATTTCACTGACACCGCCAGGAGTTAGCTGGACATGCTCGAAGTCCTCCTGTCAGGTTGCTCTTTCGAGTTAGAGGCCACACGTCTCCTCAAACGAGACAATCACACCGAGAAGCCTCAGTCGGATCCACCCACTGTCAATTGTCAACCGATGAAGACTGATTCATTTTTCGCCAGTTCATTCCGACCTTCAGCGATCGGATGAAAACCGCCTGCGGGGTGCAAAATTTCCATCTCCTCCTCCTATGTGTACTGGGGGAAACTCTGATATCTGATACAAGCTGAGCAGACCACAAAGAGTGCAAAGTAGCTCCATCCATTCATTCACGAGTGGCTTCAACAAATGAGATTCGACGTGCATGGAAGATGAGCCATAATGGGCCTGGCCTGGCCTTCAGGGGCTCATCAGGATGATTGTAGGAGAGCCTGCAGGGATAGTGAGATTGTGAATGGTCGACACCAACTGACCTCATCTCGGCGAGGTGCGCCGGGAGGAATGCACGGGGTTAGGGGTCATTCTAGAAATCAGAATTCCGGCTGCAAGGAGGTGCAGAGGCGTTCCGTAAACCTGGAAGCCTCAGTTGTCACCTAGGCCACGAGCTTCTCCGCATCCACGAAGCAGATCTCCCGTCGGACTCAGCGGCAAGCAGCTGAGAATTGAGTCCAAGTGTGTCCGGAGCGCATGTCAATCTGGAATCACTACCAAAGTTTCTGCAGGAGGGGAATGGAGAGGACATTCGAGTCACCTGCCCCGAGCATCCTTTCATACTCAGTTTTCTAGGTACGTGATATTGAAGCTGAAGCAGCAGCAGCAGAAGCGTGTGTGGAGGGTGATTTGGGCAAACTCGCATGGCTCGAGTGCTGAGCTGAGAGGCTCAGCGCAGGCAGTCGGGGAGAGTCTGTGCTGCAAGTTCTCGTCCACTTTATGGAGTCACGCGCTCCTAGTGGACGACATCCACCTTTCTTCTTGGCATCCAGGTTGGTTCCCCATGCGGGCCAAGACCACCGTGAATATCATGAGAGGACGCAGCAGCGAGTGGAACCTCATTCCTCCTTTTCGGATCAGGGTTCGCCTTCGAGAGCTATCCCCTCAAACTATTCCTCTACAGGCAGAAATTTCTACAGGCTGCGGCCTCTGGGGAGCATACAAACACGGAGGGCCCCCAGCCGGACTCGGAAAATTTCTGGGGAATGGCAAGCCCGGCATCGACAAAAGTCGATAGCTCTCCTTTCTTCGCTCGTACGAATAGCTTGGGTTCAATCCCCTTCGAGGGCCCGAGGGTTCTCCGCTCGCAGGGTCGTGGATCGTGGCTTCCTCGTGGGGTTCGCAGCAATCACAGGCAGTTGCGCTGTGGGCAGCCGTGCGCTGCTTTGTCTCGCGGCGGAGAGGGTGAAGTATTGGACGATCCTCCTCTGGAAGCTCCATGGTGCCTGCGCGATACTATCCACCGGCCTGACTGCGAGGGAGAAATACGAGGGATCTGCCTTCTTAGGCTCCATTTGTGCTCAGCTCAGCTCGTCGAGCTTCTGGCTGTTGTGGTTGCTGAATACGACCCACCTGCTGATGATCTCATTATCCCGCCTCAGTCCTGCAACCGCCAAGTGTCCAAGTCCCTCAGTCGGGCCGAGAAGCGGCACCATCAGTTCTGAGTGCATCGAGCAGATCACCTGCGATAACAATATATTTAGAGCTCCTCAGTATTCTAGACCGGGGTTTAATATTCACCAACGGTGTCTCATTTTTGTAGTACAGATGTGGGAGGTGTCTTATCACCATCACGAGATTCTATCGTTCGAGAAGGTAAAATGAACAAATCGCAGATCGAATCAAGTCTCTGGTTTTCTGAGACATGGATCAACCGTCGGTGGAGAATGCAATTTGATTCCTCTATCCGTATCTAATGATTCAAGTCTCATGATTAACCGCTAGCTCAAAGAAATATCCTACTCTGTCCTCACGAATGACTTCAGCATTTATCATGCCTCCTCAATGCAAGCACTATAATTGACGGTCCAGATGCGATAATTACGGCTGGGACAATAAGAAGATATATGCATTTTCTCCCAACTTCATGAAGAATCGTGTGGTCTGAAGTGAAATCTCTGATGTTCAAAGATTTATCTTGTGACGCTTACAAGTCAACGCTCGGCGATCGCCGCCCTCTCTTTCTTTCTGAACTCAAACTCCATCCGCTGGACCACGTACTCTACAAGGGATCGACGGGGCTTGAGCTCCATGCTGCGGTCCATTTCTACTTAGAATCTGCATGCAGTACAATGATTTCAAATCGACCGATGTACGAAGCTTATATCCGCATCCATGCATCTGTGCACACCTTCACAGTTTGTGCTTCTTCATGAGACTGATGATTGAACGCAATGCCGGCAGACAGAGCCGGCATTGCGTTCTTGCCATTGTAGGAGGCAAAGGTGTAGTTGGTGGGAGTTTAAAACGGTCGAATGCAGCAGATCGAGATTCTGTGCCCAATTTCGACTATTAAGAACTGTCTGATATAGATCCTCTAATGAGTTGCGATCAAATTTTTCCACTATCTAATTTCCAGGTTTTCTCTACATTTCATAATGTAGAATGGGTGAAATGCACGAGACTAGTGTGATTGCAGCGATCAATTTAGAATGCGAAAACAAGGTCAAAACCTAAATACGTTCCGTCATATGACAATCGTAAGAATATTATATATGGCAAGTGGAAGTTAGAATAAATATATGAAATAAATCTTTCCACGGAAGATGAATGGATGATTCGATATGAAATCAATCTATCCGCAAGGCCATGATTGCACAAGGAAGTACGTGGATTCTCATGGTGCTTGGCTGACTGTCTGCTTTGGCAACAACAGTGATTGATTCAACTCATACATCTCAGCTTTGTATCCATGCTTCCGATTTGGATCAAGAGGTGGAAGCCTGTTGTAGAGCGCTCTGAATCGTCTTGTGTGATAGAATCTCAAACGCTATCTCATCTCGAGAGATATTACTTTGGAAGGCATTCGATCGACATTTCACAGCTCTCTCGGCCGATTTTAAACATGATACAGCTACCAGACTTTCGAACTCTGTGAGCACCGTGATATATCAAGTTGATGCTTGTCAAGTCATGGTCAGAGGCTGCTCATTATACAATGACCCGAAGCTCTGTGGACATTGGAAAGGTCTAAAAACCGTGGTTATTAGTCTCTATTGATTTTTTAAGATGTCAGTTACATATTTTACAAATGTTTTGCGACATGCAAGTCAAAATTTGGATAACTACTCGTCAACTTAACATAAAAACTGGTTACTATCTAGGGATTCCATGAACATTATGAGTATGTATGCATGGGAAGTGTATAAAGCCAAGAGGTGTACATCTCTCATTCTTCATACATAGTAAAAAATGGTTGACAGAGCTAATAAGAAGAAAGTATGAGTTTGGAGATTAGGAGATAGTGAATGGGCCGAACGAAGCAGATGCCAAAGGGATCTACATCTAAGAGGTGTACATCTCTCATTGTGGATGCATATGTAGTCCAGAATGGGCCGAACGAAGCAGATGTCACAGGGAATCACACCTCGGGATCTATACTTCATTATGACTTCTAGAAATCGTCACCTTGTTTTCAAT